TATGACATAATTAATCAAATAGGTATTGGTGGTCGAGGTGGAGTCTCGATCTTGATCAAAAATTATTTCAAATATTCTGTCCATTCAATTCCTTTCTATGAAGAATCACAAGCAGTAGGTATTACCATACTTACTGATATAGGTAATCTCTCTATATTGTGCATTTATTGTCCTCCTCCGAAGCAAGGGCGTTTAAACTTTCAGAGCAACAATTTAAAAAAGATTATTAATGATTTACCTAAACCTATATTAGTCTCAGGAGATTTTAATGCACACCACATAGCATTTGGCTGTCACTCAACTAACAACAGAGGTAACAATATTTACAACATGTTTGACGAATGCGATTTATGCATCCTAAATTCGGGCTCTACAACCACTGTAGGACGTGTTGGTCAAAGTCCTTCAGCAATAGACATATCATGTGTTAGTCCTTCTGTGGCTCCATTGTGTAACTGGAGTGTATATTCTGACTCAATGGGCAGTTATCATTATCCCACCATCATAGATATTCACGTCTCAATTGAAAAATATGAAATAGGCGAACCTTTTGAACGGTTTCTATACAACAGAGCCGATTGGAAAAACTTTTATATTGACAGTGAATCAGCATTTGATGATATTACAATTGAAAATAATAATTCTCTGAATACATATAATAATTTTTGTAAGATATTAAATATTCTCAAAGAAAAATATATACCTAAATTAAAAAAGAATACTACATTCGTTAAAAAGAAACCAGTTCCATGGTGGGACGATGAGTGTAAAGAAGTTGTCAAAAAAAGCAAACTAGCATTAAATTTCTATAGATCTCATCCAACTATTGATAATTACATAGAATACAAAAAAAGTGACGCTCACAAAAAGCGACTACTCTGTGAAAAGAAAAAAAACAGTTGGTTAAAATTATGTGAGTCCTTTAATAGATACACTCCAGTAAGCATAATATGGAATTACATGAGGCGATTCAAAAGAATTTCATCTTCCAAACGACCTAAAAATGATGACTGGGTCCCATCCTTTTTTGATAAATATGCACCTTCAATTCCATCTGAAAAAGATATAGATTTGGATAAGTTAAAATATTTTTTTGATAGCAATGGAAGTTTAAATGCTCAATTTCTTATAAAACCATTCACATGGGAAGAATTCCAAACATCCTTACAGTCTAGAAAAGACACTACCCCTGGTCTTGATGATATCACATATAATCTTATAAAAAAATTGCATATAAATGCACAAAAAAAGTTACTCGTTATATTTAATTTACTCTGGGAATGCCAGACAATACCACAATCATGGAAGACACAGTGTGTTATTCCAATCCTTAAACCAGATAAGCCAATACAAGAAAGCAATTCATATAGACCTATTTCTTTGTCCTCTTGTACGAGGGTCAAACTGAAAGTTCTTAGAACTGGCCACTTATAAACAATATAATAAAAAAATAATTCTAAAATTTGAAAATATAACTCTTTGCCAATATTACTGAGTATATATTTCATTCATTTGTCATTTGTTTTACGATTTGGCGGCAAATTGAAAATTGTCTGTGTCACGTCATCATGAATTTAACACGAGAAAATTTTCGTGCAATGATTTTTTGTGACTTTCGATGTCATTTAAGTCAACAAGAAAGTTATGATAGACTACGATTGGCCTTTCACGATGAAGCCCCATCTCGTGCGACTGTTTACAACTGGTTTAATGAGTTTAAACGTGGTCGCACTAATCTCACTGATGATTTACGTGAGGGACGGCCTTCTACGGCGACGACTGAAGATAACATCTGTGTTGTGCGGCGTATGATAGAGACTGACAAAAGAGTGACCTATCAACAGATTCGGACAAGCTTAGGCATCGGTATGAGTCAAGTGCACAAAATCCTCCACGAACATTTAGCGGTCAGGAAGCTTTGCGCCCGGTGGATACCTCATAATTTGACTGAGGCTCAAAAACTCCATCGTGTGGATTGGTGTCGTAAAATGATTGAAAGATTTAACGGAGGTGACTCAAATGCTGTGTTCGACATACTAACAGGTGACGAAAGCTGGATTTACTGTTATGATCCTAAAACCAAAAGACAATCTGCTCAGTGGGTGTTTCCTTTCGAGGAGTTGCCAACTAAAGTGAAGAGAGATCGAAGTGCGGGAAAAAAAATGGTGGCCTCGTTCTTTGGAAGGATAGGTCATTTTGCAACAATTGTGTTAGAGGATCAAAAAACAGTTTCTGCAGAATGGTACACTACCAATTGTTTGCCACTTGTCTTGGAAAAAGTTCGAGAGAAACGACCTCGCAGTAGGATCCTCCTTCACCACGACAACGCCTCGTCGCACACCGCCAAGCGAACGATCGACTATTTGGCGACATCAAACGTTGAATTACTGGGTCACCCGCCGTATAGCCCCGACCTCGCGCCTTGTGATTTTTATTTATTTCCAAAAATTAAAGAAAAACTTAAAGGAAAGCGGTTTATGAATGCTGAAGAAGCGGTGGCTGCGTATCGCGATGCCATTGAAGAGACCCCTAAGGACGAGTGGGCAAAGTGCTTTTCCCAGTGGTTCCATCGCATGCAGCGGTGTATTGACGTGAATGGACAATATTTTGAAAAGATATAATAAAACTAATAACTGGCTAATGTAATCAGTTTTTGATTTTCTAAGAACTTTCAGTTTGACCCTCGTATAGGTAAGATATTTGAAAACATTATCAAAATAAGATTAGATTATTACATTGAAAGTAATAGAATATTACCTATAGAACAATTTGGGTTTCGCAAAGGTCGCAGTGCTGCAGAGAGCTTTATTTCATTGATATCTGATATAAAAACATCATTTCTTCAACATTCCGTGACAGTTTGTGCATTTCTTGATGTTAAAGGTGCATTCGATAATGTGAATCCTTCCATCATGTCCCAAGTCCTTCATGATATTGGTGTTCCAGGTAAACTCTGTAAATGGGTGTTTGATTTTTTATTTAACAGACATATGTATATAAAGTATAACAATATATTACATGGTCCAAGAAATGTCTACAAAGGTACTATGCAAGGAGCAACAATCTCTCCTATATTGTATAATATTTATACATGTCAAATTAAACAACATTTAAAGGAAAATAATGTATATTTTCTACAATTTGCTGATGACCTAGTTATATATACTGTAAATAATAATGTAAATATTGCTATCAATAAAATAAATAGAGCATTAACAGAAATACACCACTATTACAAAAATATATTAAAATTAGAAATAAGTGCCTCAAAAAGTTCTGCTATGATTTTTAGTAAGATACCTTATAGTACACTTAATAATGATGTTATGTACAATAATAGTTGTTTACCATGGGTTCAAGACCACAAATTCTTGGGTGTATGTTTAGATCCTAAGTTGAGCTTTCAGAAACATTTTGATAAGATAATCAAAAGTGCCACACAAGGTTTAAATGTACTTAGATCTCTGGCTGGTATACATTGGGGTTCAGATCCGAAAATTTTGTCAATGCTTTATAAAAGCGTGGTAAGAAGTCACTTTGACTACAGTTGTCTAGCATACATGAATGCTAATTCAAGTTTATTACGTAAATTAGATGTTCTTCAAAATAGAGCTTTGAGAATAATAACTGGGGCAATGTGTTCTACTCCTATTCATGTGATGCAATCAGAAAGCTGTATTCCACCACTCATATTCAGGCGTTTACAGTTGGCAGAAAGATTTTGCTTAAGAACTATTTCTTATAAAAGCTCATTTATTACAGGCAGACTATTACCTTTAGAAACTTTACAGAATATGCAAAGAGGTTCTTATATCAATAATGCTTCACTTAATACTGGATACACTCCAGAAATGGTAGCAATTGTGCTATATGTACATAAATTTTATTCAAATCTGTATATAGATAATACTTGGCCTCTGTACAATATTTCATATAATGCATTGATAAATTGTAATTTCATATTACATTCTGAACCAATACAAAATAACAAAGATTTAATGCAATTTCTAGAAAACCAATCTTATTATAGAGTATACACAGATGGTTCTAAGACTGATAATAGAGTGACATCTGCTTATTATGATGTCCAGCTAAATTTAAGCAAATGTATATTAATCCCAAGTAATTGTAGTATATATACAGCTGAATGTTATGCTATCTATCAGGCTTTAATATATATCTCAGCACTACAAAATGTTAACAAGTTTTTAATTCTTTCTGATTCACAAAGTGTATTAAATTCATTTAGAAATAGTTGTAAATATGATGTTAATTATTTAGTGTTTTATATCAAACAAGTCTTAAGTAACCTAAATGATTCAGATAAAACTATACATTTTATGTGGGTACCTTCGCATAGTGGCATTACAGGAAACGTAAAGGCTGATGAAATAGCACGATCCACACCCAATGAAGACCATTCACAATCAATGAAGATTCCTTTTACTGACTTTAAGGCTGTTGTTAATCAAAACTTGGCGATGCTCTGGAAAAACCAATGGGAGTTAATTAGCAAAGAGAAAGGTCAATGGTACAAAAAGGTCCAAGGAAGCCCGCCCGCCCAACCTTGGTGGTACAATAAATCAATACAGAGTAGAAAGTTCATAACTACTATAAACAGATTGAGATTTGGTCATGGTCAGTTTCGCACTCACCTGCATAGATTGAAGATGGCAGATGATCCAAAATGCCCTGATTGTAAAGAAAATGAAGATCTGCAACATATCATATTCAAATGTAAACGGTTTGGACTACATCGCTTGGTACTTGTTAGCGAACTTGAAGCAATCACCAAGAACATACCATCAACGCTGGAAGAATTATTAAAAGACTACAAATACTTTAAACCGTTATTCAAGTTTGTTGTCAACACTGTCAAAAATATCTGAGTGAGAAGAAAGAACAATGAACGAATTTTGTCTTGTATTCTGTCAAAAAACTATGTAAGGCTTAAAAGGACTAGTATCCAGAGCCGTAAACACTAATAAATAAAAAAAAAAAAAAAACAGATGATTGACAGTGACAGTTGGTAAGCAAACACCATGTTTTCTTGTATTATTACTAATAAATTTTATTGATTTTAAAATGTGTTTTTAAAAAATCATTTAAAAACCGCGTGATTTCAACAAGAATGATGGTTGGTATATAATTGTATTAATTTTATTAAAGTTTTAATTACTTATTTATTGTGTGCATTGTGTTACTAAGGTCATATATATAAAACTAAAACACTCTTAATGTGTAAAATAATTAAAATGCTAATAATTACTATTATAATCTTAAAAGTTAGAGGTAGCTTGTATAATATACCATTTTTTTCGTATCTAATTAATAAATATTGCTATTTTAGAACAGCAAGATATTAAACACAATTGCAAACGCTATAGATAGCAAAGAAGAAGCAAAAAAACGAAAAGATTTTGGAAAAGTAATCCTTCAAGACCTCGCTACTTGTGTACAAAACTGTCAAAATAGATTTGGAGGGAAATCTGAGTTAGCTACCGAAGATGATTTAAGGTAGTAATTTCTTAACCATTAGTGAATTTTTATATTTAGATTAGAAATTATTTGTGAAATATTTGTGCTGATGATTCTTTTGTTCTGAAACTAAAGTAATGATAATATTTTGAAGTAATATGACATATTTTATTAGTATTCAAGCAGAAAATCATCTGTATAAATAAAAAAAATTGTTATTTTAATATTACAATTTTCTGTTTGTAATATTAAAATAACCACTTTCTACTAAATACATGTGTGTACATAAATACATAGTACATATTTTTACATTTTTCATCTGTAACGGCTAGACCAATTTTGGCAGGACTTTACTGGCAGATAGCGTATGTAATAAAGGGGTAACTTAGTCTACATCCCACACGGATGAAGTTGCAGACGCAGCAAGTAATATATATATAAAGTGAAAGTTATTTATTTACTTATTATAAATTATTTTCAGAATATCGCAGTTATGTGAGAAATGGGAAAAAGTATTGAGCCATGGCATTAGAACAAATTTATCCACATCAGCATTACAAAATTTGGTTTCAGCAGGCTTAAATTTCACATTCAACATTGTGAATATTGGTATGTTTGTCATCAGTGTTCAAGGCATTGATCTTATACATTCAGTGATTTGTTTGTCATTATAAACTGGTTTAATATTTTTCCATAATATGTAATCAAAAACTGGTTTTACTACAATATGTAATAAGAGCCCCATTACAAAACTAACTCCCTATATAGACAAACAAACAGAGGTCAGATGAATAAATTTTCCAGTTAAGTATATCTTTTAATTGAAAGTTATGAAGTCTTTGTTATGAAATTCTGTTCAATAACAGTGTAGCTAGGAAATATTCATAATTAACTTAAAGCCATTTTTATAGCTTTTTTTTTTATTTATAATAAGATTTTTTCTATATTTCATCAATTAAATTTCAAATTTTCAAGACCACTATGAACAATATAACTACATGATAAAATAAAATTCTATTTTTTCATTTCATTAGTTTAAACCAGTAGCTCAAACTAGGAGCTCAAAAAAGTACCTATGCATGCTTTATGAAAATATCACTGCAATTTTGGGTTTAATTAAAAAGTTTACTAACAATTTACAAAAAGTAAAGACACTATGAACTATGCCAATAGTTACTCTGCACTTTTCAATAAGCTAATATTGTTAATATATTTTTTGAACACAATTGACCGTTTTATGCAAAAATCTCAGGGCCCTTAAATTGGTATGAAGTGTATTTATGTACCTTTTCCAATATTATTACATCATAGACTTGTCAATGTAATTTTGCATTTACAATATTATTCTAATAATTATCTTAAAATAGGTAGGTACTAGATTTGGCTAGCCTTTACAAAGAGAATTTATTACCGACATTTTTAAGGATTTACTTTTGATTAAGATATGCCTTTATAATAATTATAATTGTGAATTTAGCATGTAACTTTTGAAAAGCACTTGCCCAAGCAAACAAGGAGTCATTGCTTGGCTTGGCTTTGTATCTGAGACAGTATTACAGTATTTCAAGTATTTTTACAATAAAGATGATAAAATTAATGTTGATTTATCTATACAGTAGACCTAGTTGTGAAAAACTTTTTACAGATTGCTAGGATCATATTAATATAAAAAAGTGCATTAAGGCCAATATTTAGTATTCTAACACATTATATCAAATATTGATATGATTAAAATTTCTGTACAATGGTTATTTTATTATTAAGTAGAATTTATGTTCATAGCAACAGTGATTACGTTACTTTGTATAATTTGTTATAGGAAATTCTTTATGGAGCTATACTTGTTTACACCTCACAAAGCACGAAAAAGAAAGATTCAAGATTCTATCGAATATTAACACTCCACTTGGATACTTCAGAGCATTCCTTCGAGCTACTTTGAATGAAAGGTCTTTGGAAAGGTAAATGTTGCAGTGTGTATATTTAATAACAGTAATTTACCGAGTGCATGTTCTCTTTTAGAAATGTTATTATACATCAGTAACTTACCTCGAACAGGTCTAATCAAAAACAGTTAGACATGATTTATTTTTCATAATCTTAACAGAAATCGTTCTACATATCTGATACATGCAGAGCTTAATGTTGGAGTACACTGCATGAAGGCAGACTTTCAATCGTAATCGCGACTGATCGACAATGCGAATGTGCGCTAGCGCCAGAGTATGCTAGAGTTAAGAATGCTAGTGAACCAATCAAGAATGCTAGTGAACCAATCAAGAGTGCGGAGCCGCATAATCCGTGCGGAGACAGCTGGGGGAATTAGTTTCAAAATATATAAAAATGAAAGATTATGAACATATATAGGTGATTTCATTAAAACATTTGTTATGCAACAAAAAACTGAAAAAGAAACATTGATTTTCAGATATCTACAAAGCTGGGTGTCCCATGGTCTTCTCATGGAGTATTATGAAGACTGGGCTCTTGTGCGAGATACTGAGGCAACAAATCTACTTCCAAACATGGCTGCAGGTTGTAATACCCTTACATTTACCCTTACCTTTATTGTTGTACTTGATAATTAATTAAAAAATAAATAAAAGATCCACTCATAAATATCTAATTTGTTATAGGCTTATCATCTATTTTGTTTGCGTTATCAATTGATAGAAGTGAATTGAATGAGTCACAGCAAACAAATCAAATTAGCAAAGCAGAACATGTTATACCTCTACCGGTACCAGTAAAATCGAGTAATATGAAACGCAAACCATTACGACAAGTAATATCTTTTGATAAAACCGAACAGAAGAATCAATTGAGTGATAAGAGAAATTTGTTAGGATCTGGTGACCGCCCTGATACAGATATGTGGAAAAGTGCACCGGCCACATGTTTGAACTCACCAGATCCGAAAGAAACTTCGCAAATTACGTCTAGCAGTGAACCGACGAGTTCTGAATATAGAAGTAGTATTAGACATTTCTTCCCCGATAGTGTCAAAAGCATAGATAGTCCATCACAAATATTATCCAAGCTTTCAGAGTGCGCAAAAGAGATATTCACCTCTTCCAATAGTATTGAAGCAAATTATGTAATAAAAGATGACCTATCTGAATTAAGTATTAACAATTTGAAGATATCAGAAAGTGATAGTGAAGAAGTGGCAGGCAGTATTGATGGCAGCACCTCATGCCTGGAGCTATGTTTCACGGAAGACGAAAGTGTTCCAGATGAGAAAGTTTTAAATTCGATTTTAGAAAATAAAGAGAAGGAATATTTGAATTTACAAATGAAATGTAATCAAATAGAAATAACGAGTAAGGAGAGAATCAATAAACTAGAGAAAGTGATATTAGATCTGAGCAAGTGAGTTGTACATTCGCTTTCGTATTATATTACTTTCATTGATTATAGTGAAGTGGTTAGATAATTTTTATTTTTATTTTAGAGAAAATGATAGACTGAAGGAACAGTTGCGGAAGTATATGTCAGCTGTTGAAATGGGAAAGGCGTTAAAAAATGAAGGATGTGCCGATGAAGAAGTCAGTCAGTATGAGAGGAAATTAGTACAGGTAATGTCAAATGCAATGAGGTTTAACTGATATGTTATTGAAATCAATTTATTTTTTATAATCAGCATTAGCTCTTTCACAACTTCCACCAGCACTACGTAATTCTGTAGCTATTTGCATATAATTCTAAGTCAATATGACATGATTCACTTTTGTTTTACCAAAGTATCATCATCATCAGCCGTAAGACGCCCACTGCTGAGCATGATCCTAAAAGTATACTTACACTTATTTTTTAGCAGAAATTATTTAACGATTAAACATCGCTATAGAATAATGTTAATTCCAAATTGAATTAAGAAATTGTTTAGAGAGTACAACTGGCATTAATATGTGTTCCCAAACTAACCAAATACAATTATGTCAAAATATTATTATGCCAAGTACAATTATGTCAAAATATAAGAAGCATAAACACATTCCAAAAGAAGGAATCCCGTACTCCACTGCCAGATATGTTTAGAGATAAGTATTTAAAAATTAACTCTTCATTAGGTCGCTGAAATGCATGCAGAGCTAATGGAGTTTAATCAACATTTACAAAAGCGAGTACAGGAGTTGGAGAACACATCACTGATGGAAATATTGGAATGTCCCGAATCAAATGTAAAAGTTCACATTCCGACGACATTTTTAGTGGGAAAGAAAACACATTCCTACCATGTATATCAGGTGATTTGATTTTTAATTTACTAATTGTTGTTCTTCAGAACAACAGTCAAAATTGTGAATTTACAGAATTTGCAAATTTTGATGAAGTTAACCTGATTTATTTATTAATTTTAGAACTTTTTAATATCAACTTTTTAGGTTTTTTGTGAACTTTTTAGTGACTTGTCCAGTCAATGAGACTTGCCTTTTGTTTTTCAATTATAATCGACATAAGGTTCGAAAGGTAGATCTTGTCAGATATCTAAATTAATAATAATGGCTGCAATTCAAAGTATAATCAATTTTTATTTGCAGATATTTCTTAAAGTTGGCCAAGAAGAGTGGAATGTCTATCACAGATATGCAAAATTCCATGAGTTACATACACAGTTGAAGAAATGCCATCCAGATATAGCAGCTTATAAATTTCCACCAAAAAAAACCTTGAGGAAAAGGGTATGTTGATTACAATTATTTAATTTAATATTGTTTTCGATTTGTAATCGTTTTTTCAATGATCAGTTGATAGTAGTTTGATAAAACTAGAACTTTTTGACATGTAAATTCCTAATAAATGCTTGTAAAAAGATTTGTACGTTTGCCAATTCAGAAACCGGCCGTAAGTATGTTTTTTTTGTATATTCATTCTGTGCAATTTCGTATTGTAGAATAAATTCGTTACTATACTAAATAGTAAAAAAAAATCATTTATAATGTTTTGTTTGCCAGCGCTGAAAGAATGCACATTTGACAGTTAATGTTATTTACAATAAATGATGTTACGATGTATATATCTACAGTAACCGGCAGATATATATTTAGATGATAGATAAAAAGTTTCTCATCGTAACACACAATTACATCACAAACTAAACATTTACACAACAAAAAGAAACAAAGAATAACAAGAAACAGAAATGTACACAGCGGAAGCTGCACACAGCAGCAGATGAGAAAAGGGTCTAGGTTCGGTGCACTTAAGTCACCTAATGAAGACGAATCACCGATTTTCAGCCATCATTCTGTATGAGATGAGCGGGGACAAAATATTTTTTTAGTGTAAACAAATAAAGTTAAATATTTTTTGACATTATATCTGAGACAACAAGGCCTTGATGACGTCACACGCTAGTAAATACGGCTTCCTGTTAGCGATTTCAGTATGATGAGGTTTGTTTATTTACTAGCGTGTGACGTCATACGCGGCGTAATGGCGGCGTACTATAGACACAGCGTTTTTGGCGCGGTTTCGGAAATTCAGTAAAAACAGTAAATTTTGCCCGAATGATTAATGAAATGTGCTTATTATTTAATACGGAATAATTTAAAACTATTTTTCAAAATCAGTCATATACGCTATTAATGTATTTATGGTTAGGACGCGCAGTTAGTGGAGCAACGTCGCGTGGCGTTGCAGGCGTACTTGCGACACGTGGTACTGGTGTTGCCAGAGTTGCGTGACTGTACCACACGCGCGCATCTCATCACTCTGCTACCGTTCCTAGGGTATGTATACTATGATAATATATTCAATCAACTTTGCGTTCACAGTGCTATTTTTTATTTTATTTCCTCTTACATTCATTCAATGAGGTGGAACACAGTCTATAGTCATATGTTCATGTGCCTATTTATATTCTTTTAACACTTAACTTATGTTGGACATTAAATAATAAAAATGTTACACTCTTTAAGGGCATTGCATTAAGACGACTAGTTAGGTTTCATTAAGATTTCAATTTTAATTATTGATGATCCACCGTTTAGCAACCAAAATATGAAATTAGGCTTTAGAATATTATGTTACATAAACATTATACTATTTGAAATAAAAATGCGGTTATTAAAAAAACAAAAAAATATAATTCAACTTGATCAATGCCATCTGTTGACAATTAAATTTAATTATTATTCTTCTTTAGCACGTCATCCACATCGAAAGAAAATGGACTGAATCGTTCCCTAAATCGGCAGCAATCCGTCGATTCAGTTTCTACTTATGATGGTCTGTGATTATGCGAGAGTAATAATATTTTTATAATACAATTATGTATTATGAAATGAGGAATAAGATTATAAATGGAAATAATTTTATTGCCAATATTTTTAGTATTGGTTTTCACAGTATAACACAATATTGTTTTAATTTCTTTTAACTGAACATAAGAGTACATATGGTTTGTAATATAAAATATGAGTGATCGAAAATGCAACGACTACATCGTTATGTTATGTGTAATAAGCAGTGGTCGGAATTAGGTAGAGTTATTCATGTACTTACACTGATTTCATACAGCGAAAGAATAAAGTGGATACGCCTCAAATCCCGAGATTAATTTTAAAGAGCAGAAAAAATCCCGTGATTTTTTTAAATAAAAAGTTATTTACTTTTACCCAATTTAAACTACTGCACGCAGGACGTTGCCAAACTTACATCAATGACATCGATGTCCAAAGATGTCCAAGATTGTCCATGAGAAATCCCGGGAAGGTCCACATTAATATCAACATTACGATGCAAGTACATAAATAACTCTACCTAATTCCGACCTCTGGTAATAAGTATATCTGATATGTAAATATTAACATACAGTAAAATTATGTATGGGTATCAAGTAAACTATTAGTATTAAACAGTATCAGAAATGTAGTTTGTTGCAGTATGTAGGAAAAATAGTTTAAAATATATTTTAATTGTGCAATGAAATAAAGTTATTCACAGCAACAATGTATTATTGAATTAATTTTATGCTTTATTTATGTTTTAGACTGTGATATGATTACATAGCTTTACCGTGTATTCATAAGTTTTTAAAGGTAATTCCGATAATTTTAATATATTACCTTTTGGGTTATTATAGTATTTGTTATCTCTAAAACGAAGCCGTATCTAGTTACTGTAGTATCGATCGTATCGATAGGACAGATCACCCGACCTCTATTCCGATGTGTTAACATCATGTCATGGTGTGTGTACCCCTTTATTAATATTAACACTGACTGTCCTGTCCATCATTGTATTTAATACACTGATGACTTTGCTTGATACGTTAGTGCATGACAGAACATGCACCAATGCAGTTACCATATTGTACATTTTATATATTTTTTTTTTAATTAGTAGGTAGTAACAGATATAATAAAATACTGAATTAGGATGTACAGACTAATAAAAGACAGACTCTATTTCAGTAGTCTGTGCATTTAATACAAAGCATTACTTTTCTTAATTATCTGATAGCCTCTTATATATGTGTTGTAGACGAAATTAAATTCATTCAGTAACCCCCGATTACCTTCAAAATACATTAATATTATGGATATGGGAATATAAATATCGTTCGGACAGTTAAAGTGTTAAAAACTCCAATATATCCAAATTAAGTATAATAATTATTTTTACCGAAATGCTGGTCAATGTATTATTTATACGCTACGCCACTGTTGTACCTTGTAAACCATATATATTTTGGTTCATGTTGTATTTATTGAAATCATATCAGGAAAGATGTACATAGTTTTAAGAAGAGTATGTTAATAAATTATGAATAAAAATTATATTGTATAAAGAGTTTTATAGTTATTGAAAGATTTAATATTTAACTGTACGAAACAATAAAGTCTGTTCATATAATCCTATTTTTTATTCCTATATAATTAAAGATTTTATCGTTACACCCTTCAAGGGCTCTTAATCTGCTTTACGCAAACGGACCGCGCGGTTCCATATAAAAGCGCTCCGACGCAGGCCCGGATCTTCAACTTTTTCCAAAGGGGGCAGATATTGCGCCCTCGCACTCCGCTCCCACCCTTCCCCCGGCGCACATATTTTTGCAATATATGATTTCATTACTTTCTTATATTTGATCAATTTCGTATTTTTTAGTAGTTATTGCATTGTGAATTTTGCGTTCATAATGCAATACTGAAAAATATTTTTTGATGAAAAATGCTTTAAAAATCCATCTTGTCCCTGGCACTCTTTAGATAGGACTCAAACCCATGACCATGAACCAAGGTTTTCAACTGGGTGGGTTGCCTGAGCATTAATGGAAATACGCTCTGTAATAGCGAGAAAGTAACAAGTGCTTAAGGTCCTGTTAGGTCCTGGGTAGCTCAGTGGTTAGAGCAGTCTTCCGGATTGCGAAAGGTCATGGGTTCGAGTCCCATCTCAGAGTGCCAGGGACAAGGTGGACTTTATAATCATTTTTCCTAAGAATATTAATTAATTTTTGATTTCATTTGAGGATTTCGGATAGGTGCCCGTTCCATAGTAGTCTATGTTTATGATTATTTTTTAACTGTATTATCGCCCGCACGGGTACCATACCCGTGCGGACGACCTTCACGGGGAGACGAAACCCGCACCCAATCCTTGTAACTCGCTTCTACGCAACGGTCGCCCGAGGGGACCCGCCAGTAGTAGCACGTATGGGTTTGTTCTGTAGATAATGCTCTATGATGTGGGTCGTACGCTCGGAAGAATCCATGAGAAATCTATTTCAATACAGAGAGGTAAATTTTATAATCATTAGAATTAAACTGGCGACACTGACAACCGGTTTCTGAGAAAAGTACGAAACCTCAACTGATTATTTTCAATACAAGTTTTTCCGTTTTACAAGTAAAATAAATTTAGGTTTATCAAACTTTTATTAAATGATCATTAAGAAAAACTTAAATCAGAAACGAACACCGTAACGACCGTTTAAGTTCAGTTTGAGACATTCTTAACTTTTAATTCAGAAACCGGGTGCGAGTATTCCGATGTCCGTGATTGTACCCGCCACGAAGCACCCGCGCGCTTTTCATCTCTTAGCAAAGTTTAGAGGCTAACATTGATAAATACGTAAATCACTTAACAATAGTCATAATCATGAATCAGTTAACAATAGTCGTAATATTTAGTTTGCGAGGAATTCATTAAAACAGCTTTAACGCGCAATTCCACATCCTCAGCTCTTTTCCTACCTATTTGCAATGAGAAAAAAAGGGCTTTGAAAATCATATCGATTCGTAAAATTAATTGAAAAATTTAAGATCAAATTCGGATTAACAGATGCCAAATGTGGCTTTTTATAATTGTAAAAACGTGTAATTTTATTATAAATAAATGATTTTCTCGCATTTGCTGCTTTTTAATTATAATATTTTTCAGTACTTAAGTAACGTTTCTACAAATAACGAATGTTGCGATGTCATGTACTACTGGATGTGAAACATTACCACGGCATTCGATTAATATTTATAACCATAGGAATAAGTTTTCTTATTCAATGTATTTTGAAATTCGTACTCTCAATTTGTATGCAGCATAAGTTTAAAGCCAGACTGAACGTCAGCCCTGCATTTAAAAAAATCTCTAAAATTATTAATTATTTGGATATCCGGAATCCATCTTGAGTCAAGCATCATCCTTTTTGTGACGTTTCCGGTCCAAAACACTACCTCCCTTCTTACTTCCGGCGCCTGTGCTGCCATCTAGTTTGCGGGTAGCGAACCAATGACTTTTAGGCACGAACGCTTACCGTCATTATAGCGTCGTTTTTCGTGGCGAAAACATCGGTCCTACATAAAATGTGCACAAATTATACTTATTATTATATAGTTTAGTGTTAAAATTAAAATGAAATGAATATAAAATTAACCTCCCTTCGCGATGGAGCAACGGGACAGCGAAATAAACAAAGAAAACAGCATTGAAGCAGGCGTGTTTATTGTCTTCGAGCTCATCGAACAGTGTCGTCGGATTCCAGCTCGGAGAGAGCAAGTAAGGTACAGAGGCGAGAAAAACTGTAAGTGATTTGCATTCGATTTGTTACCCCAACCAGTGACATTTTTTGATAATGCATGATAAAAACTGGAAAACTAAATCCACCTGTGCATTTTTCCATAACAAAATAGCACATAGTATCCATACCAGGACCGCAATTATGGCAACCACAGCCACCATCACGTTCCCTACGACCCCACGGTCCTGAACAGTTCCTACTTGCAGCGGTTACGACTGGTGATAATTTTCTTTATGTACCTACTATAGTAAAACAATCAACACAAGTTCAAATAGGATTTTTTTTTTCTTAATAACGTTAAAGACCCAGTCTATGGTGAAACCAAATTAGATGAAACATGCTCAAATTAAATTATAAGTTGAGGCGATTTGTTTCTGCTACAACAATTGATGATTTAAGATAAGATCTTTATTTGCGAGAATAGAAGTCATTATAGTTATATTTTATAGAAATGGTACAATCTACAGCATTAACAAATACCTTAACAGAATTAAAGTATGAATCAATTAGTTTAGAACTAGTTTACAACAAATTGTAGATTGATCTATTGCTAAAGACCTTAATGCTAAAGAGCTTTTTGATAAAATCTAATCAACATTCAACAAGGATTATATTTTCCAAATATTAAGTGGCAGACGCACTGATGTGTTCAGAGCCGTGGAGAAGTTTTCTGAGGTGCCTTTACAGAAATTTTTGCCAAATTCAGAGTTCAAAGTCAAAGTCAAAATAATATTTATTCAAATAGACTTCTCTTTTGAATCGTCCAACATTTTTCCCCACCACTCGTTCAGGACGTCTTTTGGCTGATAGGAAGAACGAACAAGTTCTTCTTTGATAATAGTATATTGCACCCAAAAAACAAGGGGGTGCATAAAATGGTTGCAACTGCAAGTTGATTCAAGGTAGATTACCAGAAGTACACACCAATATTTAAATGGTAATGAGACCAGTTCATTAAACTTTAGAAATAAATACAATGCATGACATGACACATTGGAGGGGGCTATCTAATGCGATCTGTAAGTTTATGGAACAATCAGGATGTTCCAGATTGCATATGTCGGAATCTTGGGCGAGTGGCTCACCAGTTCCAAGGTGTCACCATTTCTGAGCTCCCGCATTCCACTCTCGGTCATGTTAATGCAGATAATGAGCTTTTCTATATTGTCTCTGGTCTGGGTGTTGTTACCTTCGTTGTTTCAGATTTCCATAATACAAGTGTTTAACTATATCATTTGGTATCTAAACTATGTAGGTATGTGATGGTATAAAAATTATATTTTTATGCGTGGGATTTTAAGCCATCTTCAAATATCGTTTGCAATGCTCAAATTAATATACTAGAGATTACAAAAAACACCCTGTTTTGTATCATTTCCTCTTCTAATGTTAAAGCCCGACAATTTCATTTAAAACGACACTGATTTGTCAAAATAAAACCTTTTCGACTGATCAATAATTTTCGTATTCCGAACATTCTCATACAAAACGAATGGTTTACGAAAATATATCCGAGCCAAAAGTATTTTCATTTGAGTATCGCCGAACAACATCTGGTTCACAGGTTCTTGAGACTGGCATACAACAACCTACCTAATGCAACTGACGTGTCTCTTTGGACTGCCATCGGTACTCAAAAACTTTGCTGCCTAGACCAACACAACAACTGCGCTACCACAATAGCAGCGCTTAGGGTGGTCTCTCAACTTCGAGCAGTGTGTGCTGGTTCTGAGCTTCCTCGGCGTTGCCTGGTGCATCGTGACCAACACGGTCACGAGGTGCCGGGAAGTGCCGGGGAAGTCAGGGGTAAGTCCCTGTCGGAACCGAAGTGCCTTACGCTACGCATGGCACTTCAGCACGAGGCGACTACACGTGGCGGTTAGTCCCTCAGACAGGCCCAGTTCCTAATGGGGAGACTCGACTTTGCCTCGTTTGTGATTCGAAGAGGGTGATTACACTGTCGCACACTGCAATACTACCATCGACAGTTGCCCAAAGATCACCATTACCACCGAATCAAACTACCAGACTCAGTACAGAACATTCAGCGAAGTCACTGTTTGAACCGAACGCTTCACGCTACGCATGGCATTTCAGCATCAGATTGTACAAGGCGGTTAGTCCCTCAGACAGGCCCAGTTCCTAATGAGGAGACTCGACTTTGCCTCGTTTGTGATTCGAAGAGGGTGACTACACTATCGCACACTGCAATACTACCATCGACAGTTGCCCAAAGATCACCATTACCACCGAATCAAACTACCAGACTCAGTACTGAACATTTAGTGAAGTCCCTGTTTGAACCGAACGCTTCACGCTACGCATGGCACTTCAGCATCAGATTGTACAAGGCGGTTAGTCCCTCAGACAGGCCCAGTTCCTAATGGGGAGACTCGACTTTGCCTCGTTTGTGATTCGAACAGGGTGATAACACTGTCGCACACTGCAATACTAACATCGACAGCTTAAAACTATTACTACCTATTCGGATTACCAGACCCAGTACTGAATGACTTAAAATGGTAAGTAACTGTTGTATCATGATACCTTCCAATAAATGCAACGCAAATCGCTCAACATCCGAGGACAGGTGCATAGGAAATCTGTTCGAGTGCTCAACTCGAGGCAATTACTCACGCGAGTCTTCATTTCGCGGAATGCCTAGATGTAAATGCTAAGAGAACTGTACTGATTCCCGTACATAAACAAAGATGGGGGACCAAATCTAGGAAATTATTGTAATTATGACACGAACAAGGCAGATTCAGAAATTATGCATAGCCTGAATACTAAATCTAGCAGCCCAATGTACACCAGATGTGAACTTATTCCATCGACAAAAGCACACGTCATTCCCAGGTTCATGACAATGGATGTGACGGACGAGCAAGCTAATAGGTCATAACGCATGACGTCATCAGTGCAAATGCAAGCTGGCCTTATTCAAACATGATTCCGCAAATACTTTCTCGACTCCAGTAAGCGTCAAGGCAAGTAAGTACATTATGATTGTTCCAAAATGGGACGAAGTGTCTTGGCTGACGATTTGTTTCCGCAAATACTGCAATAGGTATGGCAACAGGTGTTCATCCCCCGAAATTCAGAAAATTTATTTAAAAGTCGGGCAGAATAAAATAAAATAAAGAAAATCTTGAAACTATCGATTTAATGTAAAGCGACTATAAATATCTACTAGTATTAATTCTGCAAATAACAAGTGCCCGGTAGGGAAATTCTGCTAATGTCGGCGTAATGGTGGAGGGTCAATAGCGCTTCGACTACAACCCTTTATGACACATTCTTGTTACTAGATCATAAAATAATAAATATATCTGTCAATATTGAATTGTTAGGAAGACATTGCACTAATAATATTAGACTTCAGGTATATAGTACAATGGAAATTTTACGTAGAAATTGGCAGAATTGACTCTATTTAAGTTGCTGGAAATTTAGCATAATTTCACAATCTTCAAGGTCGCAGAATCCATTATTTAACCCTTTTAACCTTTGAAGTACAGGGACGAAAATGATTTTTTGTCTTATGGCCCCATTTTGTATTAAAAACAGATAATAGTAATTATGACAGCCTGGATAGAAATGATTAACTGACACAAATCATTCGATTGCATGTATTGGACACGCGATCAATTTTTGTATTGAAAAGAGCCCCAAAAAGAAGTAATTTTCACGAGTTAACTACTCTGTTCTCAAAAATGCTAAATAGAAGCACATAATGTAGAAGATTCTTCAGGGTCTATTACATCTGCAGTTCCATCTCTAAATTGACTGGAACTGTTTCCGATGGATAAATTACTGAAACTGTAAACTGGCGCCAAGAACATACTTTTAGGAAGTCCTATCGAAAACTGATAAATCGGACAATCAAGAAAATTCCGATATCTATGTATTTACATTTTTATTATTCCATTCAATTCATTAATGATATTGACCGATAACAGATAAGCCAATATTTATTTAGCTTAGATTACCGAAATACTTGAATAATTATTATAATTGCATTGTTATGTAACAGCATAATATATGTACTATGTATGTAATAGCATAATATACTTATAATATGCATTATTTTTTCTCATCAGACTACATTTGACTTTTTATACCTGCAACACATTATAGCGTCACCAATGGCACTCACCAGGAGATAACAAACACATCACTCAAGATGGATTCCGGATATCGAACGGAACAAATAATAGAGAGTTTTAACTACCAATAAAACTTACCTATTATTTTTCCTAAAGATATCCGGAATCCAGGTAAGTTCTACCTGGTGCATCTAGAGTAGGTATAATGACGGTAAGCGTTCGTGCCTAAAAGTCATTGGTTCGCTACCCGCAAACTAGATGGCAGCACAGGCGCCGGAAGTAAGAGGGGAGGTAGTGTTTTGGACCGGAAACGTCACAAAAAGGATGATGCTTGACTCAAGATGGATTCCGGATATCTTTAGGAAAAATAATAGGTAAGTTTTATTGGTAAGAAATAAGGACTAAAATATGACCTAGACAATTTGCTATAATTCGTTTTTAAAAACCGAGATCTAGTTGTGGCGCAGCTAAAGTGATGTCAGCCCTACAGCGCAACAGATTTGTTTATCTCCGAAACTTCGTCATTTGGCTATTTATCCCTATTTTATAATGGACTAGATGGATCAAGGCTTCATTTCAATATTGACGAGAATTTTAATTATTTAATTTTAACGCTGTATGTACTCATTCATATGTTTAAGACGTCGTTCAGGACTGTCGTACGCCCAATTAGAAACAAACTAGTAGTAAATTTAAAACTCGCCATTTTTTTACTTATCTTTTACTAATTCTAATGGAGATCCAATATTTGGTGATCCTACGTACGAGTTATTAAGATTTCATCCTTGTAATTTAATAAGACATTGCGACCATCCTCCTAAATCGTCTTACTATAATAATAAGTGGTACTATTAAGGCAGTATTTTATGTGATGGTCATGGTATATCTGCAGGTAAAATCTCCAGTTTCGCTTCCAGTTTTAGTTATGAATAAAATAAAAACACAATTTAGCAAATGAAATTCATAATTTTATTTTCGTAATAAATAAAAATCAAGACAACACTCTCTTCGAGAATTTTCTATATTAATACATCATACAAAAGATGTAGATATAAACTAAATCACTTGGTGCAAAGGCAAGCCTTCCGGTTTGCGGTATACCCGACCTTTGTAACAGATGTAGCGTTGCCGGTAACCGGTTTGAGCTATCTATGCAACAGGCGAGTGGAAACCGAGGTTAGCCTCTTATTAACTATATTTTTAACAAAACAACTAAAAGACCAACAAAGACACGTCCCAATCTTAGAATGTATCTTTGTACACATCTCTAGTTTTAAATGAAAAAAATATGTATTTGATCGTGATTACAATAATGTATAGAGGTATGTAAAAAAAGCGTATTACTCTCCTAAAATGAAAAAAAGAAACAAGATAATTTAGGCTCCATATTTAATAAATAAAATATAATAAAATCAATATACTTTAAAGGGGAAATAATTTACTATCAACTTTACACCTAAATTATACAATGTATTGCAACACGCTAAGGAGCTTTGGAACCATTGAGTAATTCTGGTTTTGAATTTCAGTTGGTAATTAATCTCGATTAATAATAAATCTAGACATTGTGATTTATCTTTGGTTTGCGAGCGCTCCGACCATAGTTCCATAACTCCTCATAGGGCACAGTCGCCAGAATTACTTCACAGTGAACCATTATATTCGCACCGCGCAGCAGTCCTGGCATTTAAAACTGCACTCAAGTGATTATTTCATAAGTACTTACATAAGTTACAGATCTACTATGAAGCTGGCGCTATTAAAATGAAGTGAGTGTAATCTTTGTGTGACTGCATTTATTTCCAATTTTGTTTTATGAATTAGTAAGCTTCGAAGTGACAGGAAAACAGTCTATTTAACACCTATTACAGAGTATAAATGTTATGGGAATGGCAAATTTTTAAAAACGTAAGCGTTCGCCATCTTTATAACACCACTGTCGAGAAAGCCAATATTGAAACTTAACGACTAAAAATACCACTAAAAAAATTACGCGAGACACCAAAATAAAAGAAAATTTGCTAAAAAAATCATCACAGCTCGAAGCAAGTGAAGGAGTCGCGTTATATGAGGTCCGATATAATAAAGGTGTTAATGAATGATAACCCGAGCAAAAAAGTTCTAAAATGTTTATCATAATTATATATTCATTTAAAATTATTCTATCGCAATTTAAAATGTTTTAGTTGAAAGAGATTTTCGTATTTGTTTAATACAAAAATCGCCCACTAATTTATATAGGCATTCCATCTAGCGCAATCCGTGCCTGTAGGCAGAGAACTTGCTAGTGGCAGCAAGTCGCTCAGGCACCACGCGAACAAAACCAATACAGCTCACCAACGGGGAAACGAACTTAACTTTGGGGGGAGGGAGGGGGAGAGAATCGTGGACATTTACTTACTGTCGTCTCGTTATCACTCATTACCTCGTGGAGTACCTCGTGTCATGTTATCTACATAAATGCTGACATATCGGCATAACATTGCTTATCACAATATATAAAAATATATATTAAAGAAGCTTACACTACACATCTACACATTGACGATGCGTTCTCGTATGCATTTGCCACCACACGTGAAATATAGACATATACGGCCATAGTACACCTTCTTATATATTTTTTTGTATTTTTTTTCTTTTTGTTTATTTTTGTGCGGCAGCATATGCAAGTCTGCAAATGATTCACAGTTTATTCTTAAAGATAAAAACGTATTGCATCTTTGAAATCATAATTTCACTTCGATAGGGAAGAAATGTGGATGTTCACTGGTAAATTGGTAACTGGGCATTGGTTTGTACTGAACCTCAAATTTGATATACCTTACACACATTTCTTCCCAATGAGATTATTTAAAGGTCATTTAATTTAGCCAAAATGCATTTGCAGCATTCAAAGTTGAAAAACTAAATATAGTCATTTCATAAAAAATATAGTTTATCTGATTTAATAAAAAATAGCAACATCCAAAGACCTTCGTAGCATCGGGTCTGCTCATATTTTATAATACTTTTTGCATGGTTACCTAACATTAAAATTGATAAGGAATTCAATGAAACTTCCGACCTATAAATATTTAGCGAAAAGCTAAGTTCTAAATCCATGTGCACTTATCGAATTTAAGATTAGACAGCTCAAAATATTAAGCATTTATACGAGATTTCTAAGATATTTTTAGTTATTTTTTTTCTGTGTGATAGAACTTACATTATAGGCTTTTCATAAACACATAGTAATATAAAGGGTATAATTTATCATGTGACTGTTCGCGTTCATGTGGTAGGTACATCTAAGATGTTTCATGTAAATTCTCTATACGATAGCGGCCACCTCTTCAACTTTCATCTGGAAATTAATACAATAATATTATTTATCTTGGACTAGAGATCTTGTATAGTATAACATGTTAAATCTCATCGGCTTTTTACGAGACCACTTACGGTGGAGGCTTTAAAATTAACTTTGCGTAATTAGTTTTAATTAAAAAAATCCCTGCGGCCTGAAACGGCACCGAATTCAAATTCCGTCCGAAATTTTCGTTCGAATATATGTATAGAACAGGCCCTTAGGTGTCACGTTAATTCGTTTTAGTTACAGTTTCTTATACAATAGGGGATCGGACAATATTAAAATAAAAATTAAATTGTACATACTAAAAAGTTCATAAAGTTTTCAAGATTATTTACCCAGTATTTTTGCTAAATAACAATTATTTATATTTTTAAATCAATAAAGAAAAATATAATTTTCAAATATTTGTAGTCTGTGCTCATGTCACATGAAACACCAGAGCGCTTGACGTCATTTGTAGGTAAAATGGTAGTAAAACTATCTAGGAAGAGCGCGCGAAACATTCAAAGTGAAAAATAATTTTAATGATTAACATGATTTTTAACAGTTTACTGTTTTATTTATTTGTGTGTTTTAATATAAGTACATACTGCAAATGAAAAATCATTTTCTCCCTTATACCCCACAAATGAGGTCACATCCTCCGACCATAATGATTAATTTAAAACACTTTCTAGAAAGTTGTCCGTTCCCCTATAATATTAGTAAACTCACCACGTGCACCAACGATGATGGATTTCCGTTTGATGTCCTGAGCAGGAGCGGGCCGTACAACGCCGGGTGCTCCGCCACCGACCAAGTGTCCGCCTCCAGCGCGAATTGGTTTCGCTGTGGAAAAACAAAGAGTTGTTCTAAAAATGATGCATTATTTAAACAAAATATATTAACAAAAAACATGAAGAAGGCCGGATTGTTATAACGGAAGTTGAAGGAAACCATATGTGGCATTGGGAGCAAATCAGATTTCAAACAGATTCCAAGACTGGACATCAAGTTCCCACCAAGATAACCTTTAGCAGGAAGGCCTTGTAGTAATTTAGTGTTCCTTTTTCTGTACACAACAAAGATGCAAATTCTCAAAAATAAAATGAATGTATGTGTATCTGAGCCATATACTCTGTCAGCTAATCCACCTCTTTTACGGCCAGTTCCATTGAGGTTTAATGACGCCTTTAAGCTCTAATGAATGTCAAATTTGTATGGGTAATGCCGCTTTAAACTAATGCTAGGTATTAAGTTTTAAATAGTATTAATTGTAAATTTAATACAGACTAAATGTATTACTGTGTATGTACCATTTGAAAGAAGAGAAGCCAAACAAAATTATCTAAATATAGGAATAGGTTTATATGGGCTCTCATAGTACCTCACACTCTTTGATGAGTTGTTAATATTTATTACTGTTTAAATATTATATTATTTAAACAATCTGTTTATTAAACAAATTATATTAAACAACAGTATGTACATACCAATTTGCGCTTGAGGACCTCTCCGTGCGAGATTCTTGGCGCGCACTGCTTCCTTGATTCGGTCGACCTCGAATTGGTATCTCTTGCGGTCACGCATCGCTCCTTCTTTAGCCTCCTGTTAAGAATTCAGTAAAATGATTCAATAAAATACCTAATTTAATTTAAAAAAGACTCATTTAAAGTCGAAGGTCATGATTTTGTACCGTGGGTGAAATTCTGTTGCTTTGAAGTTTGAGCCTTGTGTAAAAAATGGATGAGAGCAACAAGTAAGTATATTTGCATTTTGTGATATCTACTTATGTGTGTTTTGTTATTGGATACGCACTTAGAAATCGGTGTTTTTAAAAACTTTCGATCTTTACTAGATGTTTCGAATATTTTAGAAAGCGATAACTATGGCGAGATTTATTTAAATTTTTTCCTCTATACAACGTGTAACAGATATAAAGCAAGCATATCCTTAAACAACCCAACTAGAAAATGCTTTTATTATTCTAATACGCAAACTGAAATTTTATTATTATGTGATAAACCATTACTTGCTTACGGAAATATTTTTAATGAGTGTGGGCATATTACAAATTCACATAATGACGGTGGAGACGAACAATACGGTGCGTTTCAACTACGATTAGTGTCTAATAGGAGTACGTTTATCAATAATCACATTAAAATAAAGCTCATTTTTCTTTATTATTTTATCGTATGATAAATTTTCTGACAAGAATATAGTGCATTTTTAAAAGCCTTATTACATTGACTTGAGTTTATTTTTAGTTTGTTACGACTGTTATGGGTACAGGAGACCATCGTTTACTTCATTAAATTAAAGGGTTTAGCCGGATACGTATGACGAGTCGGCCCCCAAATGGGAATCGATATTGAAACTTATGTTTTAATATAGACTTGATGTTCAAACACGATTTATGTACTTTTCGCGACCGACTTCCGCTTTGACCTTGAGATAGAGAGCAAAATATCCGTATGCTTGACTATTACTGAATGTGATATATCTCTGAAGCCAATTAAGATAAAGAAGTGAAACTAACGCGAGGTGTTAGGTTACATTACAGAGTATATCACATAATTTTTTTTATAATTTTTAGAATATAAAATTACATAAAAAAAATAAAAATAAAAAAAACATGTTTTTTTTCAAAGTTCTCTGAGACTTACAATCACGAAATTAATATATGTTATGCTCCTTTGTGTGCTCTATCACCCATAAAAATTGCGTGAAAAAAAAGTTGGTGCAACACAACGAAAAAAAATTATATGTGATTCGCGCCTTGTAGTGTGAGTGTATAAACAAACAAGTTCGAACTTGCTATCGAGCTGTTTACTGCATCGTTTGTTTAGCTAAAGTAGCAGTCATTTGTATTACACAAGAAGGCAGTTTGGGACTCAAATTCTGTCATAGGTATTTTGTATCAGCATTTTGAAATTATTAACTATCGAACCAAATCATTATTAAGTAATAATGTCGAGAAAGTGTAAAAATTGTTACAAGTACCTGTGTAAGATTCCTGGTTATAAAAAAATTATAAAGAATGAAGAAGAAGCTAAAGTGTTTAGTGACTGTTTGAATAAAATCGTAATAGTTAATGATATTTTATGTAAGAAGTGTCGACTTATCCCATATATTAACAAAAAAGCTTCTACTTCTAAATGTGCAGCATTTAACTTGGCCGAAATAATGGACGATCAAAATAATCTCTCAGTACAATATGTGAAATCAGCACCTAATATCATCAAAGCAGAAGTAAAATCAAGACATATAAATAGAAAAGTCTATCGAATTTACATTCACTATATTTCCGAAGGTAATGACTACAATAGTATTCTTCGTTATTGCTGTGATTGCCCCAATGCAAACGTACAGTGGGATGCTGTTCTCATGTAGCAGCTATTATTTATTATCTATCATATGGATGATATTTGTCCAAAATCGTACGTCCTGCTGAGGTCCTAACTAAGTTATTTGCGACTTAAAGTGTTCCGATTGTAATTAATTACAACAGTGACGATGATTAATATTTTGTTTCTTGTATTTTGATTGACACGAAAAAGTAATAATAATAAGTATTGAACACTGGCTGCTTTTTTTTCATTTCTTTTTTAACTATTATCCCATCTCTTAGGACTAGTTCTTATGTTTTAAAACAAGCTGATGTGAAATTTCGAAAAAAGAACAATGATGTAATGTGAAAACCTTATAATACAGGGGTATACCATAAGACAGAAATCACATATAATTATTTTTCGTTGTGTTGCACCAACTTTTTTTTCACGCAATTTTTATGGGTAATAGAGCACACAAAGGAGCATAACATATATTAATTTCGTGATTGTAAGTCACAGAGAACTCAGAAAAAAAAACATGATTTTTTTATTTTTTATTTTTTTAATGTAATTTTTTATTCTAAAAATTATAAAAAAGTATATGTGATATACTCTGTAATGTAACCTAACACCTCGCGTTAGTTTCACTTCTTTATCTTAATTAGCTTTAGAGATATATCACATTCAGTAATAGTCAAGCATACGGATATTTTGCTCTCTATCTCAAGGTCAAAGCGGAAGTCGGTCGCGAAAAGTACATAAATCGTGTTTGAACATCAAGTCGATATTAAAACATAAGTTTCAATATCGATTCCCATTTGGGGGCCGACTCGTCATACGTATCCGGCTAAACCCTTTAGGAAAAAAATGCCTCTTTTAGAAATCGTTGAAATCAAATAACTGATTTTAAACAACATACTATCAAGATGTGAGTTAATTATGTAACAAGTTGTATTATTACCGCCACATCGTACACAACACAATAATTTACCTTCAGCGCTGTCTCCAACGCTTTCACCCGTTCCATGGTGGCGCGCAAACGTTTCTCCAGTTTGGGCAGTTCACATCGCAGGTCCGCGTTATCGCGTACCAACTGCTTATGCACTTTCGTCAACTGTTCCAAGTTGTTCTCCAAGAACGAGATCTTCTGCTTTTGTGCGAGCGAACCGCCTTCCTCTTCTGCACCCTCCTCGGAGTTTGTGGATTTCTTTATCCTTGCCTAATGAGAGTTGCAAATTTATTATTCACATCAAACAATCTCCCCGTGTAGCATGACTAAATGGAGACTCGGACGAGAGTGAGATATTAAATAGTGTGTGCGGGTGGAGCTAAAGAAATTCTATAGACACCTAATATGGTATTTGAAAACATTAAAAACATATTAAATATTGTAGTCATCCTATAAAATAATAGCGTAATAACAAGCATTTCATTTTATTTTAAACTAAATAATGTATACCTATTGCAGATTAAATAAAATCAAATATGTATTTTATGACATTTTATCTTAGACAAAAACGCCTTGTAAGTAGTTGCGGCTCCGATGACGTCACACGCTATTAAATATGGCTTCCTGTTGTCGATTTTAGTTTGATGGTGTTTGTTTATTTACTTGCGTGATGTCACGCGTGGTAATGGCGGACAGCAATTTCCTCTTAAATTTCAAAGATTGAAGTAATTTTCGAAGAAAAAAATCTTCGTAATTTCTTGACACTACAATAATAATCAATCATCAACACACTTATCAGTTTTATAGCTAAACTAGCCTTTGCCCGCGACTTCGTCCGCGTGGTAAAATAATTTGAGCAGTATTTCTAACGAATATTTATTCATTATATAGTGTAAAATACCTGAAATAAAGTTTCATCCCCTTAAGGGTGGAAATCATCAAAATCCTTTCTTAGGGGATGCCTACGTCATAGTAACTTTATGCATGCAAAGTCTCAGCCCGATCGGTTTAAAATTGACCGTTTCATACAAATATTCATCCCCTATTTTATCCCCTTGGGCGTAAAATTGATCAAAATCCTTTCTTAGCGGATGCCTACGTCATAGTAGCTGTATGCAAAGTCTCAGTCGGATCGGCTTAAAATTGACAAAGTTTCATACAAATATTCATCCCCTATTTTATCCCCTTGGGGGTAGAATTGATCAAAATCAGTCAGTCAGTCACCTTTGAGTTACATATATTTCGATATAATTTCATCAACGATGTAGTCCTTAAAAAATCAATACCTGTAGATCCTGTACGAAAAGTTTGCGCAAATTGTGCAGGGTCTGGAGTTCCTTCGCAACTGTATCTTCCAAGCCTTTGAGATCCGCGCGAGCCTGCTCACGCCTCTCCACGCTTTGACTGTATAAAAAGAAACCAATATTGTCACATTATTAAGAATATATAAATAAAAGACGTATACCGTATAATATACTTAACCGTAGGCACCATCCATTTACGTAAGACGATTTAGAAGGGGGGGGGGGGGATGTTTTATTTTTCTTAGAAAGCTTCCCCATTACGTTCTCACGTAGAGTAATAAATAAGATTATACTTTTAAAAAAGTGCATTTAAAATTATAAGTACCTGTAATATGAATGTTACTAAAATTTCTTACGAATAATAATTTTAAAAATCTTATTATTCCTGACATAGAGTGTATTAATAAATGAATGGCGCCTTACAATACAATTAACCTGTCAAATTACCTGAACATCGTAGTAACGAGCTATCATTCCCGTACGCACCCATCCATATACATAGTAGCTGCATTTACGGGCCGTTATATCTCAGAGAATGCCAACTCTCGGCAGAATGAATATGAATGGGACACGTGCGGAATAAAAAATGACAAATCAAATAAAAAAAATCATAATAATCATAAAAGCAGAAGGCGTCACGATATCTCGCACTACGTCTACATCCAACTTACATGTACTACGTGTTCATAACAGTATAACACTCAAGTTTGTCGCTATGTGTTATGTTTTTTAATCTAGATAATTTGTCTAATCTTAATTCAAATACATGTGTGTATAAAGATTCTATATTCTGTGACTAGAAAGATCACTAGCGTTAAATATCTAGATTAAAGAACATAACAATATAAACAACGTCGCACGAAATAGAGAATGATTATTGATTTTTTTTTTTCTCTATTTGTACGATTCAGTACCAAAAGACGAAGGCGACAATCACTCATCGGCATTTCGAGTGCACACAGACTAAATAAGGGAAAGTGACGTGGAAACTAGGAACAATACAATATCAACAAGCGAAGACGTGATAATGAATCATGGCACATGCATTTTAAAACAACCAGCGTTATATAATCGTACACTTTCTATGTTAAAATCAACAAAGGCATTTATCGAATATTAGAAGTATGTTTTCCTTGTCTAATTTCAGAAACAAATATAAGTAACTTATATGCAGCAAACAATTCAACAAAGTATTCACTGCACATTTTCTATTTACGTAAAGACAAATACGCTATGTCTATAAACAAACTGAGATCGACTACGTCGCGTTTATCTCAGCTATGTGATGAACAAAATGCCAATAAATAAATGCTCACATCGGAATGATAAAGTCATTTTATGATCCCACATAATAAATGCATTCTTATTTCAATATTTCATTAGTCTAAAAATATTGACTGCTATTACAAAATGGTTCCTAAACACCTATAACAGTACACCTAAACTATATTTGTACGATATTACGATTAACTGAATCGATCAAAAGATTATTTATTATTACACATTTAAACAACGACAAAATACATGACTGCTAACATTTCTTTTTTAAATCATTAAGGCGCTATATTCGAATAACAATGGTACCGTCATTGTGTTAGAAAAATACTTTCAATAAAAATACTAACCAACTCTCTATACAAACATCCAATTTTATTTACAGCTTTATTTACATTACGGGGTGCTGTTTTTTCTAACCATTCCAATAAGCACAACACACGACTAAATTACGAATTTGCAGAAATAATTACTTTTTAAACATATATCACTCTAAATAATTGTGACAAAAATTATTCAATACAACCAATAAACCAAACAACAGCTTAAGGCAGTGTAAGTTATGATATAACATTATTTTTTATTGCTAATACTTTTGCACGTTTCTCTATTTATTTATCGTAATAATAAAGATTACAGTTATTTTGTATGTTTCCCTATAATATCAACAATGTTAGGATATATAAGAATGATATTTAACTTGTATGTAGCATTTACACCTACGATATTAGAAGTAGAAAGCTAACCTCATCTACTAGCGTCTTCCAGAAATTTTTACGTCACTCCGTCCTTTTCTATTGCTTTGACGTGTAGTATTCTAAGAGTGAGACAGATTATGTTAGCTGATTAAAAAATCTCTCAGTAAGAACCATAGAAAGCTTACTCCATAATCTCTCTCACTTTAGACTCTTCTATACATTAGAAAGGGAAAGAGCAACAGAAAAATGAGGACTACTCACTAGATAAGGATTAGTTTATAAAGATATGATAACGAAAATATTCAATGATTATAAAGAACATGCTTTCATAAATATATCAAAACATGCTTCAAATTATAACTACGTCATGAAGTATTTTTCAAGCGAAAAAATATAGTTTGATTAATTCATATCCTATACATATAAATATTAAGTCATTGACTAGCATCACATTAACAGTAAGCGAAGCATAAAAATATGCATAAAAAATAGTTAGTCTTTAAAATGAACAATTTATAACGACTCATTGTACAACTGTCTTAAAAATATCAACCGATTTATATGATTATTGCCGATTATAATTTGAAAGGCAGTTGCGAAAACGAAAACGTCAGTAGGTCACTGTGGATCTCTCACACGGTTGCGAGACGGTCAGCTATTATTACAATTAGTGTTCCAAAAGACATAGAGACTCTTACATCTGAATTTTAGAACTGGAATGAGAAAAAAAAAGAAATATTTTATACTCGATATTATGTAAATATTGCCATACCTTACGAGGTAGTTGTCGTCCGACTTTGAATCTAAAATCACAGTCCGTAAAGCTTTTTTGCAGAATAATTAAAATTTTCTGCACCAGTAGTAAGAAGTACTAAATCCTGAAGGGAATTTCATTAAATTTAAATTGAATTACTTATTTCTTTTAACTTTTGGAAGAAAACTTTAGAACTAAGATCCTTCCTTCTGATCAAGAATATGACTTGAGAATAAAAAAATAACTTTATTGTTTATAAGGAAGAATTTCCAAATGATTTCAATTAAGTCTAGAAGTATTTCAGAACACTAGTAACAATTATAACAAACTAAACCGATGAAGGCACTCTAAATAATATTGTCTAAGTGCACAGAGATCTATGCTGTTATCTCAGAAATTAAACTAAAACGACTATCTGCGGATAGCGATGGGTGAGTAGTATCATTGTGACTGATATGAGCAAATGCAATTGCAAGGGATGGATGTTGCAGGTGTGACGGGATTTAGGGAGTGCCGAGAGCGACTTTTCCTCTTTGGTCGCGAGTTTATCGTAACCGGCCGTGTAAAAGCCTAATTTCTCTTTCATCGGACAGAGGTAATCTTTGAAGTCGCCTTCGTCTTTGAACAGCGTTTGCTGGTTGGCGATCTCTTTTTGAGCCTTGTCTAGGCATCGTGGGGTGCGAGAAACTAACATGAGCTCCTTGAGTTTGGCCGATTTGTCTGCTTCCTCGCGTTTCAGCTTCTCGTAATCGTCTTGGAGTTGTTGGCGGGCCAATGTCAGCTCTTGGTATGAACTGCGAACAAGATATGAACAGGTTAGTTATATGACGTATGTATATAAAACTGTTAGACTCAATAAGAAAGAAAACATCAACTATTTTTACAAGAAAACTAAAATTATGTTTTTTTTTAAGTAAATATGTTTGTTGTGCACAATAAGCAGCTGTTCTAGTTGTAAAATACTCACTCGTTGGATTCTGTAATGTCACTGTAGCTTAGTAAGCTTATAGCAAACAGCGCCCAGGTTTTTCAGCCGTTGAGACCTCACTCCTAGTAGTCTTGACGATTGCTAAGAATACCAGACAGACAGCTAGTTGCTTAGGACAGCTAGACGTTTGACATGAATACGGAGCTGTTCCAGCTGTAAGGTACTCACTCCTTGAGCTCCTGGTGGAGTCTCTGCAGCGCGGCCAGCTCGTCGCGAAGTCCCGCCAACTGTGTGGCGTGAATAATACGCAGCTGTTCCAGCTGTAAGGTACTCACTCCTTGAGTTCCTGGTGGTGTCTCTGCAGCGCGGCCAGCTCGTCACGAAGTCCCGCCAGCTGTGTGGCGTGAGCAGTACGCAGCTGTTCCAGCTGAGCTTCCAGAGCACCACGCAGCTGCGAGTCCGCGCGCTGCTCCGCTGCTGCCAGCTGTACTCGTTCCGCAGCCTAACGGGAAATAATTACCAGTCATATTCGATACAAGATATACACAAAACATTACGTAACTTTACAACATACTACTTTCAAATATAAAGGATGTAAGTCCAAACTATGGGGCCAACTAATTGAGAATTATAAACGATTACTTAAGTTTCTTTTTTTCCCCATCTTGTAATACACTGAAAGCCGTTAAATGGGTCACTTTGTGATCATAATTGTTATATGATGTTCTCATACAAGTGACTGTCTTTATGAAAATAAAATCTTTCAACTGAACTCTTTAAGGTCTTACTAATAAGTATTGTGGAAGCGTTGTATTGGGTGTTTTGTCTTGTGTAACTAAATAACAGTTATAAGTTTGATATCAGTGAGGGTATTGATATATATTGTGGTTGTTAAACAGAAAAAAAATGTATGAACTAAGTGCCTTTCGATAGATTCACTTTACAGCATCTGTGCGAGGCAACCTAATGGTAAAACTATATTACATAAAGTTTTATTAGTTTTAAAGTAGTACCTATTCCGATGACGACGAAACATACAACTAAAATTTATGAGTCTTGTTTCAATAAACATAAGGAGTAAAAGACGTCCGAATTGTCTGATGGTTAATCGGCGTTACTTGAATCAGTTCAATTAGTCAAGATTTTTGAAAATTGACATTCAATATTCCTAGGCAGTTTTGTCGTCCGTTTTGCTCTCATTAACGTAATTTTTAATACAGTACGGTAAGACAGTGTGATAAAGCTACAGATATATCAAAAATTTATTTCAAGAATATAACAGTAGGCCATATTAATTTTTATTATATTTACGGCATATCAACCACGACTCGAAAATATTTGTCTTGTTATTTCTGATATTGTAATAGAAAGTGACTTCATAGTCTAATGAAGTCGCTTTCCAATAAGACTTCTTTGTGCGAAGTAAAACAGTGAGAAATAAGCAGCCCTTGCTGAGTTTCTTGCCGGTTCTTCTCAGTACAAGGTCTCCCGCCGCAGTTATGCGAACCATCGGCATAGTTTCGACTTTAACAAGTGCTATGTATAAGCCTAGACTGAATAAACGATTTTGATTTGATTTACTGTACTGTTGAAATGCACCGAATTTTAAGTCATTAAGGAGCAAATTTGTATAACAACTTATACAAAATAAAGTATGTAATTATAGTGGATCTCCAGTCGTTTGCGAGCTGCATAAAAAGGTAAAGGAAGGCAGTTTGTTGGCATAAGAGAGATTAAATAATCGATTAAGACCACATGGTTTTACCTGCAAACGGGCGCATTCTTCACGTAAAGCATCCGCCGCCTCTTCGAGTTGCCGCTTCTTGTTCTCTGCTTCGCGCATCGATTCTGCTAAGGAAGCGCATCTAGCCTCGTGTTGGGAGATCAACAATCGGCATTCACCCAATGAACGCTCGTACTCTTCAATCTAAATAGAAAAAAATCATAATATTGATAACTGATGTCGACATAAATTCTATTTTAATAAAGTATAAAATTGATTAACATATCTCAGCTATTGAAACACAAAAATAAAAAATATACAATTTTGATGCAATTGTATTATCTACCTCGCCATAGATTTACGAACTGATGACAGAGTTTCTGAGTAACAGTAGACTGAATAAAAGATTATATTTGATATTCTAGTTGATGAATCTGTTAAGTAGATATTTTCGTCAAATTTTTCCTTAATCAAAGGAAAATTAGGTTAAATTAGAAAAATATTGAAGAAATCACTAAAAATAATTATGAAATTTTTATAATCATGAATTGACATTTCCAAAGAAAATACCTATATAGAACTATTATTAAAACTGGGATAATAACACATATTTTTATTCATAATATTAAACTATAAAGGCAAACAAAACTCACCTTCTGGTTGGCATCGATGTTGGCAGATTCCAGTGAATGGCATCGCTGCACAATATTCTTGACTTCGCTCTTCATCTTGCTGATATGGAGACGGGCCACTGTGAACTCTTCCTCCAGTTTGCCAACAGTGTCCACATTCAGTTTGAAGTCCAACTCTGAACCGCCAACCGCAGCGCCAATCTCCGCCAGGTCACGTAAGAGATTTGTGAGCAGTTCCGCTATACGTTTGCGCTGATGAGCTGACAAGTCGCGGAGTTGTTGCAGTTCAGATGTAGCACTAGTCAAGGCACTCTAAATGAGGAAAAATGTTACTGAATCAGCTGAACAGTCTGTATCTGTCTGTCTCGGTGGAATCTTAAAGTTATATTTATAAGCTATCGCAAGTTTTGGTTAGATTATGTTATGATAAATTTATTTAGATTATAAATTGACGATATAAAAAAAATTATGTTGTGCAAAAGTGTTTTTCTTTTACATAAGTGTGATTTCAAATTTATGTAAATGAAAATGCTTCCTACACGTCATAGGAACTAATCAATAAATATTATCACATCACATACATTGCTCAGATCCCAAGTAGCTAAGGCACTTGTATTATGGGAATCCTATACAACAAAGGTACCATAATCCAAACTCGAGACTATATAGAAAAAAATATTTTCCCATGTAGAAAATAAAAGTTGATCCAACCAGGAGTCAAGTACACCTCTGAGATGGAGATGCTTTGAAACTGGTGTGCGGACGCGAAAACTAACATGCTAAACTACAAATTTTTTGCTTTTTATTTTAATAATATAGTTGATATTTATTTATTATTTGCATTTTTTCTGTAAATGTAGTATGTTTTAAATGATATTGTTGCTATTATATTTCATAAATTTTGAGTTCACAATGCCATACTGCAAAATATTCTTAACAAAAAATGCTAAATAAATTCCTAATAAAAACAAAATGGGTTTTTTAAGCATTTTCCATTAAGAATATATATTTCTATTGTTATTTTGAAAATAAAGTGAACTTATATCCTTTTCAGTCTATAATCAACACAACAGGTTGTCTCTGAGGGTACAACGATAAAGTTTCTATTGCTTTTATAATATACATACTATGAATAACGTTACATTAGTGCGTGATATCTAGTGACGGTCAAATTATTACAATAATAGATGTAATAAAATTGTTATTATAATATCATATACATACTTTGATGCGATTCTACTGTGGAGTTATGATTCGTAGATTTAATGGATTTATATTAATACTAGAAAAATCGAAATCAAATACTTCATATCGCTTTCAAAAATGTAACAAGAGGTTAACAGCCTTTCACTGGCTTTAAGCCAATGAGGGTTAATGCCCCAAGCTTCAACTATATATGGAAACAGTTCAATATAAAATAATGCTTTAATATTGAAGATAATTATTAATCGAATATGTCAGTACTTTGGTTTTATTTTTGACCCACACAATGTATTCAAAATAATGAAGTCTATTAAAAAAAGAGGACAAATGCGAGTCGAGCTTGCGCACGAAGCGTTCGGACCAGAAACAAGCAAAAACATTTCAACAATTTCAACTGTTGAGACTGTGTGTGAGATACAGCCTGGTAACAGACGGACAGACAGATGGACGGCAAACAGCGGATTCTTAGTAAGTGGGACCCATTTTGTACCCTTTGGGTACGGAACCAGTTAAAACTACGTAGCATTTACCTGTTTAGTCTGCAGTTCTTCGGAGAGCTGATCGCACTCGCGGCTCTTGCTGTCGACCTCCTGCGATTTCTGGTCGTAGTTGACGGCAAGCTCCTCGAGGGCCTGGAGTACTTCCTTAACCTCCTCCTTGGCCGCTTCGTTCTCCTGCTGGATACGGTTCATGTCACCTTGCAGCGCCTCGTAGTCGCGTCTACGTGGCAAAACAAAATAATTAATAAAGAAAATATATATACTACAAATCATATAACTATTTCATGTTTTAAAGTAAAACGGTTTATTGAAACTTCAATGAACAACACAATGCCTAATAAAGTCATTCAAAACTATGCATAATTGTACATAATATACAAATTCTGGCACCATTAAACATTCAATAATGTGAGGTTGAAGTGTCAATGATTTATGTTACATAATTATTTTTATAGAAAGAGTATTTTATAAGCATGCCATAATTATACATAATACATTATTTTGCATGAAGTAATATTATATTTTATTTGGAAACCAAACAGACGTAATAAGTCCATTCTTACACATACCTACAACAAAGATAATAGTTTGACATTTGATAAAAAAAAACTGGCAACAGGATGGTAGTTTGTGTAAAGTTTCTGAGGGTAGTGTATGTACATAATGTTTTCATTATAGGAAAAAGGCATTCTGCATTTCGAATCTATAACGAAGTTTGTGAGGTCAGGCATTTTTCTTAAAAAATTGTCGTAAGTTTTTGCATCCTGTAGGTATTTCTCCCAGTAGTTTCGAAGTCTATTTAATGCGAACATACAAATAAAGAAACAAGAAATATATTCTAACAAGAGACTTTGTCATGTAAAGAAGATATGTAAGACTCTTTTAATGATATTGCCTCAGTAGTTCAATAAAACAAAATCATTCATATCTTACAGCCCAACAGTTTAAACCTAATTCAAATCCAAGAGAGAATTCGTTGGAACAGAACCTTTAATTGTATAGATTCTTACCTGGTGCAGGCAATGAGCTCTTCTTGTTCCATCATCTGCTCCTTGAGCTTCTCAATGAGCTGCGAATGCTGGTTAATCTCTTCGTCCTTGTCATCCAGCTGTTGGTACAGGGCTTCCAGCTTTCCTTGCATGGTCGCGTCTTCTACTACGCTCGACACAGCCACTGGCACCGGCTGAGATATTATAGTCTTATTATTTACCGTGACCACAATTAAGAACTCGTTACGAATTACTTTTAAATATAATGATAACTCTTTTTCAATAAACTTCATATCCAAATGAGAAAACTGTATCGATATCCATGGATGGATTAGAAATTAAAAACATAGGAAAAGGCAGACGCAGACATTTTTAAACAAACTATGTAATTCGTATGTTGTTTTTAACTTTCATGATCATGACATGTTATTCAGTGATCATGGCGCTTGTAATAGCGCCGATATATCGGAAACTACTTTAAAAATGTTTGGAGCGAAACTGAACGTGACAGCTGGTCTACAGGTTGCAATTTTCAACTTATAATTGTATATTTTTTCTCATTACCTCCCCCAAAATATAGCATAAATATTTTGGATGAGGTCATGCATTTTTATAAATGTAATGCCTCCAAACTATGAGCCATATTTGGAGATAATTTATTAGATAGCCAATTATTTTAAAATATTTGATAATTCAGTCTTGTGAAAGCCCAGCATTCACCACTATGCCACCGATAGTGGTTATAATAAATAATTACGATATCGCAATTTAAGTTAGAAGGTTTATCTGCAACAAAATTCTACCAAGGCCGAGATTATTATGTGGGCGAAAGAACTATCACTTGAGTAATTTGCTCACACCTGCACATTCACTACGAATTTGAATATGTATAGTCATAATTGTATTATAATTAGATTCCAATTTTTATTACACTGTCCCCACCTACAATTCATATGAGAGCTGTAAATAATAAAATTTGTCCTCGAACGAAAATTCCATATTTCTTTAAAAATTCAAATAATTTTTATAATCTTGTTGAAATTGTACCTGCGGAGATTATCTGTACATCATAAGCAACGTCAGGGTTTACCTCTATTGCAAAATAAATTATCGTATCGTATTGTCGTAGTTGCAGTTTGAAAATAAACGAAATTTCGTTTTCGCAGAATACGTTCGTTCGTAATTCGTACGCGTAGTACACTTGTTGATTAAAAGCTAGAAAGGAGTGGTCCACCCTTTGCAGTGTTAAATAAATGAACGGCGTCATCGTGCGGGCGTTACGTTAGCAAAACCGACCTAGATAAGATGTTTGAGTGCGCCAATTATCTAATTAGCTCATCTGGCGAAACATTCACCAGCATCGACAACATAGCCATTTAAATTCTTTAAATACTTAGTATTAAAAAGACAATAACTATTTAATTAAAAAATAAGGTCATGTAAACCACAAGAAAACAAATAATTAAAAAAATAGAAAATCTAAATTGTCTTGACTTGCTGCTACATCATATGTTATAGATATTCCTAATGTAAGACCAACTAGCCAAACTTTTCAAGGTATACATAAAATAAGTTTCATTGATATAATTACTCGTAATATCCAGCTTGTACTTTTGCGCGGAACATGTGTTTTTTTTTTTAATAATGAAATTATCGTATTTTATTATTATGACATCGCTTTACTCACCGGCGCTGGCGGTTTCTCCTCAATGAATGATGTAACAGGTGTGACAGCTTCGATCTCTTGTAAGTTGACTTGTTCCTCTGGTCGTACCGTTTCGCCAGAGCGCCAGCGACTGAGTTCCGCTTCCAACTTCTCAACCTAGTACATACACATTTTATTGGTTGTAATAAATGAGTTACTTTGGATTTTTTGCTAATTTGTTTCAGTCAGTGTCAATAATAATTGAATAGAGAAGTCATTTGACTACCCTATTCATGTAGATTTACTTACCTTGCCTTTGAGTCTGCCCACTTTCTCCTTTTCCCGCTCATAACGCCGTTTCCATTCTTCAGCCGTGAGTTCCTCGTTGACGCATACAACATTCTTGACAGTCTTCGCTCTGCAAGCATAAACAATAAGATAGCAATTTATTTGGAATCAATCATTTGGACGATTAAGTGGCATGTGATTGGAGAAGAATAATGAATGTACTTACCTTTTACCGAAATCGAGAGTACTTTTGGTCTCGCTCTCATTGAAAGATGCGGGGGAGCAACAAATGACAATGGTCGTCCTAGCGTTACCACCGAGCGATTCTTGTAATATACGCGTCAATTTAGAATCTCTGTAAGGTATGTGCGATTTGTTTCCGTCCGCTAAAGCTGAAATGACGTTACCCAACGCCGATAATGATTTGTTGATGTTTTTCGCTTCATCGAGCACAGTACCCTCAGCACCAGTTTTAGATACCTGTATAAAGAGTTACACAATCAACAATAGACAAACAGGTTCAAATATACCATATCTAGTTGCATATGTTTCATTTTTTACAACATACCTTTTCAGAACCTGCCAAGTCCACAAGATACAATTTTCCAGAGAGCTTTTTCTGATTTTCTAAGTTTTCCTGTTTAACATTTATGAGGAAGACTGAATGAGATCTAGATGAGTGTTCGTTCATGTCTGAAATTTAATTTTATAAGTCAATAAAAGATTTATATTAGAATTATTATTAGATACATTATTGTATTCAAATGAAGCTTACTTGTCACTGCAATGTGTCTATTTGATTTTCCCTCTTCAATGACTTCAAACACTTCTTCAGGACTTGACACAAATCTTTCTGTAGCACCTTTTACAAACGGAACTCTGTTTTTGTCTTCATGAACACTTAGGTTCACTTTTGATACTAAAATAAAAAAGGTAATTATTAAAAAATATATCCTGAAATCATATAAGACTAAAAAATTACTGAAACTTTGTTTTTACCATCCAATAAGTCTCTGATTTTGTCCATGTAAATTTCAAAATATGAAACCTTGATGTGGAATTCAAGGTTCTCCTCCATTGCATAGATATGATTGAATATATCATTGACTATCCGTGGTATAATACCCTGTTTCCCTGGATCTCCTGCAGAATATTAGAAAATATTAACTTTTATGCTTTATCAATTTTGCAGTCACAATGCTATACTGATAAATATCTTTAATGAAAAATGCTTAAAAAATTCACCAGCCATTTTCAGCAAACATCATCAGTCTTATTGGGTATCGGGTAGTTCAATGGTTAGAGCAGCCGGCCAGATTGCAAAGGGTTGTGGGTTCGTCTCAGCTCCAGGTGTCTGGGGCTGGTGAATTTTTAAGTATTTTTCATAACAGATATTTAATAATGTAATAAGATCAACCTACCTATGACACCTTCCATTGTATGTGTTTTACCAGAACTTGTTTGTCCATAGGCGAATATAGTACCGTTATAACCTGCCAATACATCTGACACAATGCTTTTTGCAGCTTCATTGTAAACCTTCTCTTGGGTTGCATTTGGTTTGAATACTTTGTCAAATAAGTAAACTTTACCCTATAAATAAAAATTTTAAAGATCTTTATTTGCATTAAGTTACACATTTGTTTTTATAATTTTGAGATTTAAGTACATTTTAGATGTGTAATTTACAGTTGATCACATGTCAAGATTCTTTGTTTTATCTGTTAAAAGTTCAAAAACCAAGGAAAAGAACATGTTGGTTGTATGGGAGCCCTTTTAAATATTTATTTATTCAGTTTTAGTATTTGTAGTTATGTAGCAACAGAAATACATCATCTATGCAAATTTCAACTGTTTATCAAAGTTTATGAGATACAGCTTGATGATGGACTATTTATAATTATTTGTTTTTGCATATCCTTAAGATTTAATTTTATCAATAATAAACACAGTAGCTGTTAATTTATTATGATAAATATTTAATGTTAATAATATATAATTGATATAATTTGATAAGATCAAAAATTTACATTATGAGATTGAGTATAACTCTTTATAATTGAAATTATATTTTTTATTACACAGATAAACAGGTTTTTATTTTAAATATGGTGGAGAGAAAATACTTAAAATTAAGTAATCAATTAGCCTTTTTTGCAAATATTAAAATTATCATTCAATCTAAAGATTCACAAACTTGATAGAATAATTTGAAAAGGAAAAGGATGTTGTTAATTGGCTCAATTTATGTTTTCTGTATTTACTTGATAGCACTTTTTGCAGGCATATAGTAACAATTTATCTTGTGGTGATTTCTATTAGGAGGATTTTTTTATTTTTTATTTTTACAATATTTGGAAAACTTACTAAATTTGATAACACCAATTACCAGTTTTCATAAATAAATAAAAGATTAAATAAACAATTCACAGCTGATTTTAGAATTAAGTATTTAAAATTAAACATATCTCAAAGAATATTTTAATATATTAAATAAAATTTTCTACACATGTACAGCCATGGACAATAAATTGGTATGGTTACAAAAAATGAGCTATTGCGTAATTGCCATTTTCGTTCAACTTATATGCACAGTATTTTACCATATTAGAAATAATAAGTACTTATGCAGGATTATAATATTATACCACCGTCATAAATTTGATTCACCGACACATGTTATGATATCATCAACAAAGCAAACAGGATGATTCCTTGTCTTCAATTTCAGATATAATTATAGTATATTACTCATGCACTAAAACTGTTTTCTTAATACATAGCTAATTTAAGTAATAATTTTAATCCATTGTGATGTAAATGAGGAAACTATAAGTGACTGTATGATAAATTAAAATGCATCAGTCACAGGTCTTCGAAGTATTGTACTTTTGTAAATATCTGGTCCAAATTTTTTCTGACAAACAGAAAGTGTCAATCACAAATATCAAATTACCATAACTACAGTGTTAAGTAATAAATTTGAAATAACTATAAATTCTTATTTACAAAGATAGCTTAAAAGATATTCGGTAATTTATTGCTTTTAAATTTAAATTACTTGCTGAAAAGTAAATGCACAAATATTATCTTTATGCTAATTGATAAAGGCATAACACACAGTACATTAATAAAATCAAAAAATATGTTAACATATTAAATAATTTTATAGTATTCAAAAGAAATTATCTGAGGATAATCAAAGTAAAAAAAACTTACAAAATTACATAAAACTGTTGGTACAGTATAAAAATATGGTCACTCATGCATTCATGATATTTAAAAATTTCAATCACAGATACCAAGAGGAAAATAAAAAGATAATACAAAGGATACCTATTTATCAAATGTAAAGTATGTATAACTTTTAAAATAAAATCCACTGGGATGTTGGTACCCATTTACTTATTCTAATTAAAACAATAATAAAATGAAGAGATAACTATGAAAATAAACAACACCAGTTTGTTCAAGAATATGAATGAGATTCTTGGGTCAAGGTCGAGAAGGTATTTGTATTGATTTTCGACAAAACAAAGAAATTGCTGTTGAAATCTTTAACAATATTATGAGAATTTTTAGACTTATGCGATCACTATCATAATCAACGAAGCGTAATAGAAAAGAAAGGCCATTTCGTAGCAGGTGAACAAGTCGTAATGTATTAGTCATCATGGTCTAATTTAGGGTGATGATAGAGGAATGCTACATAAATTCTTAACTATTTGGAATAACTTACCCCTATTGAAATGCAATTGTCGTCAGGTCCTGAAGGAAATTTCACAATAAATTTAGAACCAGCCTTTTCTTCAGAGTCATTGAGTGGCCGAAATCGGCATACGACTCTAATACTGTCTTCAGCAGCAATCTCTCGATCAGCTGCCATTTTGTATAAAAAAAATACCTTACACTAAACACCGTATAAGCAATTAAAAATAAAATGTTCTGGGAACTTAAAACCGTGCATGAAGAACTACAAAGTTAAAAATTTATGTCACTGAAAAATCTTCATGACAGCAATATCAAAATGTCGGCCATATTCTCCACAGAAGGAAGATCGAGAGCCTCCTATTGGCCAACCACTTTTCTTCTACCCAACTTCACGGAAAAAAATATCGATTTGGTAGCAGCCAACATAACATTCAAAATTATTCCTGTGTCTATTACCATGAAAAAACTAGGACAGGTTTTTCTTTCCATAGCTACTTCGATTGATGCATTTATTAGACATAATACTAGTTTAGATAGATTGATTACGAAATATACTTAAAGGAGTGAAAATGTTATTTTTTGTTTAATCACATAATACGTTCTATATTTTTTAAAGACACTCAAATTACATGAAACTTGATTTTTCAAGCATAAAAATAAACTTAGAACCAAATTAAATAAAAAATCAAATTGAATATACTAACCACGGATTAAAAAACGATTTTTGAATAATAGAATATAATGCTTTAGCCCCCATCCTTAGAATAGTAAAGGTGGAAACACATGATTGTATCGTGTCATTGTTTTGTTCTTGATGTCATGTGTTTGTTTCGTGGTTTTTTCTTAAATGAGAATGAAATAATATGTTCCTGTCGCCACGACACACACACATATATATATATATACAATATATATAGTCATATTGAATGTATAAAACTCATTTATTTCTGGACAACAATACGCAATGAGGAAGTATTGACGCCACAATACGCAATGAGGAAGTATTAAAAAAAAGAAAGCATAAAATAAGCACCTCCACTAGATGGCGACCCTAGCAAAAGTTGATTTTTGCAGGAAACGAATGGACCAAAGAGAGTCATTTCCGTTCCTTTTAAATAAAATATTAGAAAACTGAAAGAAAAGTTTGATATCAATACAAATAGAAGATGAGTTGTTAATTGAGTTTTGAAAACTAATTTATATGATACATGAAATAAAACCGGAAGGGTTGTCACGGAGAAATCAAAAACGTACCGTAGCGACATCTAGTTTGATTTCGGGAACTATTTTTTTTTTAAATACATCCTCATTAAAGGTAACCTTATAAAAATGCAGCACGCGTTGATATCTTCGGTTCCCTTTCATTGCTTTTCTTTCATGTATAAAAGTAAATTGATTCTCAAAACTCAATAAACAATTCATATTCTATTTGTACTTTTTCGTATTTGTATTGATATCTGAGTTCATTTTTTTAATATGTTAGTTAAAAGGAACGGAAATGACTATCTTTGGTCCATTCGTTTCCTGCAAAAATCAACTTTTTCTAGAGTCGCTATATAGTGGAGGTGCTTTTTAGTGCTTCCGTATTTTTTTTAATACTTCCTCATTAGTAAATATGTATGAGATTAAAAAGTAACTATTGACGATATCGTATCCATGATCTACGCCTGCTCCGAAAGTAATTAAAACAAAAACTGTCAGTCAGATGTCAAATGCTAAATGTAGATATTGTGTAAATTATTTCTTTTTGATAAATTTTATTCTTTCGACGAGTTTATGGACAATATGTACTGAAAAGTGTCTTCTATTTCATAAACTAAATAAGGTAAGTAATATTTATATTCATTGATGTGAAAATTAAGAAATACCACTATTTCATAGACGGTGACCTGATTCATCATATTGTATTTATTTAGGAAAATGTGCGGGTCGGGACACAGTCTTTTACAAATCCGAAATTAAAAACGTTTATATTATAAACTTAGTTAATAGTAGCTCTAGTAGTTTTAATTCCCATTTTTAAGACTAAAGTAGTATTGTAATTAATAGGTGTGTAAATATGACCGTAATGAGTGCACCATGACTCATGTAGTGCTCATATAATAAGTTATAAGGGATGAGCTGAAATAAGGCTTTGTATTAAATGGGTACCTACTTAGTATTTATTAATAATATTCTCATAATAAGGTAAATTATACTATATAATGGTATATTGAGGCTTTTTATAAATTGATAGTGATTTTGTGGCAAAATGAAAGAGAAAATAAGATAAAAATTATTTCATTTTAAGACCTCTTGTTACTATGTGATGCAATAAATATTCTTGCAAATAAATAAGTTATATTGAAAAAAAATGTAATTGACCTCCGTGTACAATAGGTATATTTTAAGTAGCAACATGTTTATAGACATCTTAAGTCAGTTTTTATCTTAAATGATAACAGGTTAAAAAATAAAAATATGAATATTGTTCACTGTAATGAACACCTAAAAATTATGTGTACTAATAACAAATTTTCCGTCTATTTCTTCAACAGTGTATAATATGGTATGCAAATTTGAAATATAGTACAATACTATATGCATTTATTTGATGATTGGAAATCCTGTGTGTATCACATGGTCATTACACATCACAAATTAGATGAGATGAATGTCAATTGGTTGTTTAATCTAAGAGAATTAAAACATAAGTTTAAATGGCAATAGTGTTTCAATTACAATTTCTATCGAAACACAAAATTTGTGCATATTGCACAAGTGTGTGCACATACGTCAACTTTTATGCTCGCTTCATAACATTGTGCTGGTCGTCAGAGGCTAGCCGACAGATGAGCAACATTGCTCCTCATGCTCTAAGCTACCAATCTATAGTCACCACTGTGACGGGTTCATGCTTGGGTCAATTAATAAGGCTGATTAGCTTGAGTAAATATTTATTAATTGTAAAAGGGTAAATAAGAAACTGTAACAAACAAAAATTAAATTTTAAAAAACAGTTCATAAGTTACTTAACTATAAATTTTAAATTATCAAATAAACGAATACATACAAATTATCAAATAAACGAATACATACCCCTTGTCGGGCTTCTAGTTAAACTCTTGGATCGTCCAAAATACAGATTGCAGTTTAGTACAAATGTTATATAATTTGTATCACAATATCACATTCTTTATAACAATCAATAAATTATTTTAAAATTACATAATAAATTTTATACTATTAATACTGTATATTAATTTTCATGTTGTGCATAGAAGAATTTCTTACGAACTGACATCCATAAAGAGTATAATTGATTAGTCAAAATTTTAAATTACGAAAGACGAATAATAAAATGAAATGATGTTGAATTTCAAAAACAAAAAGTTTGCATACTGAAATCTAGGAAAACAAACGGTGGCATGGCACACCTTTACACCACTTTTGACTCGTGATATGCATTTAGTATCTCTAACAGCATTTAATGGTAATATTCAATTTATCTACTACCTCTTTGGAGTTTTTTATAATAATTGTCAACTTTATTTTAAAACTGCATGTTTCTAATATCTGAACTCTATAAGTTATAGTGCTCTTTGTCAAAAGTCTTGTCCGCTCTTTCTATAACTTCTTTGGTCCAGTAAAAAATCTCTTTCTGAAATAGGAGCTTTCTTTGGTTTATGCAGGAATAAATGTCGAATGCAGTTACAAGCAGCAATATCGAAGAGCTTGTTCGATGATTCTAAGTTTTTCAGAAACGATTAAAAAAACTTCTGAGTTAGAATGGTCTTTCCCATTCTTCTGTTTTTTTCAGTTTATTTTTAGTAAACAAAATAAATTTGATAACGGCACATATCACTGGTAACTGGCGATCATCAAGTTCTTTTAAAAGATCTCAAAATAGCACAAGTAGTCTCATTTCGTCTTGAACCTATTATTAAAATGTAAGACAAACACATATTTTATCACAAGAAAGTACGAAGCGATACCTCACAGCAATGAAACTGCAAAAGAAATGAGACCAACTGCCTCACCGTAGACATAGAGAATTTGAGAAAAACAAGTTAAAACACTTATTTTGCGAGTTCTATCCAAACCAATTTCTCACTGAAAACATCCTGTCGTTATCTGCAAATAGTAGTTTAGGGCTTCACTATCAATAAAATAAAAACATAAAATGGGAGCAATGTATATAAAATACATTTACTGGACGGTTAATTATTTTTTTTAAATAAAAATTCCGGTAGAGCCCTCAAGATATCTTTTTATATATTTTTATTTTATACCGCAAATTTGGGTATAAGGACTCGTATGATGTATAAGGTATTAACCGATGTATTAGGACTCATATGACGATACTATATCCAAATTCAAGCATAGATATGATATCACTTTCTGGAAAATTAGGGAAGGAAAATATAATAAATATAAATCTTTGTCAATTTTTTTGACTATTAATGTTTCTATATCAGGTGTTGGTAGTTTTTATTTGAAAATATAAAATTCGGAATGCAACAGTTTTCTTTAAGCACTATATATGTAGTAGAAATATATTACTGTGATATTATGTGCCAATTTCACCAAACCTTGCAAAATTAACATTTATTTTGAATGGACCGTCAAGGCTTATGATTGTTTTTAATTTTCTTCGACAACAATCCAATATGCAATTTGATAAAGCCCGGTAAAACTAGTACATTTTTCTTAGTTTATTATCATGCAATCAGTCTACTAGCTTATGAGCTGTGTTTATAAAACTGACGTTCATAGAATGGAGTCCCAGTGATCATCACAGCCTACGCTGCTTTTTCCATGTCTGATGTTTTGCGTCTCTTCAGATGTTTGTCACTCCGGCATCGTCAGTTATATAGTTAGTGTATTTGGATGATGATCTAGCCTATTTTTATATTTCTTTGGGATCATTTCGGCAATGTCTTCTTTGATGGTTTTAATATATAGATATTAATGTTATTATATTTTTATTAATTTTGCATTCACAATGCCATACTGAAAATTTGTTCGATTGCCATCTCTGGGTGCCAGGGACCAAGTGGATTTTTTAAGCATTTTGTATTAAGAATAGATATTAATGCACCTCAGTCGTTGTAGTCGTTGCGGACCCGCTGCAATTCTGTCACAAGTCATGACGACACGCTAGCGGAATTATTGCTCGCTCGTGGAGACGGCGCCTTACAGAATAAGGGGGCTAAGCACGAAGATTATGAGATGGTCGCCATGTAGGAAACTAAACCCAGCAGTGGTTAGCTGTGGGTTGAAAGAAAATCATATTATTGAACTAAAATAAACGAATGATTCATTATTAAAGGAAAACTATAATAAACACAAACTATTCGAAAATCAACTACTGTAGATTTTGTGTAAGCACAATATATCAATACGTTTCATTTGTAAGCAACATAGTTAAAATTTTCAACCTACGTTTTGACCTTAGCGTAATCGTCTATGGTGTAATATTATTTGCTGCTATTTTTGGGAGCTGAAGTATTTTATTGAACCAAACGTTGTAGTGATGGTATACAGTAACACAGACATTGCAAGTGAGTGCGGTCATTGACCCGCCCTGTGCACCCCTCCACCGTTATAGTCGATTTATGGAAACTGGCTGAACCTTACGGCACTAAGGGACTCCACGCCGGTAAAGGTTATAGTTATACGACGCTATAAAACTTCCCAATCTATATAAAGATTTTATTACATAAAAATATTTATAACATCTCACTTAGAGCATTGCGAATGCAAAATTGTTTAAATATAATAATTATAACAACTATTTATCTTAATCAAAAGTTTAAAATATTTTTTCGCCTGTTTAGGGCGAAAAGTAACAAGTTCTTAAAACATTCGTCAATCCTTTTTTGTCCGACAGTTGGGTCCTAGGTAGCTCAGTGGTTAAATCAGTCGCCCGGATTGCTAAAGGTCGTAGATTCGAGTTCTATCTCAAAGTATCTGGGGATAGTTAAAGCATTTTTTAAATAAGAATATTTTCCAGTATAGCAGTATTGCGAATACAAAATTTATCATATATAATATTGAAACTTTCAGTTTATTACTTAGTAACTTGAAAAATATGTTGCAAAAAATCTGATGTCGTCACAGGCGGAAGATGTATAAATTTAGAATAGTTACTATAAAACAATTGAATATTTATTAGTGTGTTTACATACTAGTATGGTGACATTGCGTGTATGCGAGCGGAGGTGTCCATTCTGACTGATATAACATCATTATAGCATTGATTCATTCTTTTAGCGGTCGGCTCTAATGACGTAATACGACTTATAATGAAAATTTCGAGTAAACGACACGTTCGACATTCAAGTTGAATTCATGTATGATCAAGAATTTAATGAGAAATCAATTAAGTGGTTTCTGGGCTACTACAAAAGTATATCTCCGAAGACGCAGTAGTTGATCTCTGAGACGTGCTCACTATGTTTTCAGCTAATTCCTTTTCTCACCTTTTTTTTTTATACCTTATGTTTTATTTACGTAAGTATTTAACTTACTAAATTGCTGCTAAATTTCAACTTAAATAAAAAAATTATAAAAAGATCGAACTATCAAATGAGTTTGTGTATTACATCGTGTCACCCAAGCTTTACTCTATCTATATCTATACCTTCTAAAGAGAAGTTGAGACACAATTATTAAGTTCATTGGTTTACCTTAATGTCTAATTAGTAATTGGCTAAATGGGTCAAGGAAATGTCCCTGTTGTTAAACTGTCAATCAACTGTCGTCGAAGCAGTGACTCGTATATGAGTTTGTCGATTGATTCTAAGAAGAAACGGTGATAGTCAGATGGTCTCGCGTTGACTGTATCGCTTGCTGACGAGTTATTTTCTGTACCATTAGTCACGCGTGTATCCGGCGCGGGCGCAAGACGTGCCCGTCGTCGCTTTTCGTGGCATCAATATTGTTACGAAAATATTAAAAGTTTCGCACATTATTATTAAGCTTTGACTTGATTGGCACAATTAATTGGTTACTTTGAAATATTTGTTTTGAATTTAAAAAGGTGGGGCACGACCTATTCTGAGATAGTGGATGTGTTGATAAAGTGCAGTATTACGAACCGTGAAGTGAGTTTAAAGGAAAACAATATATAATGAGGTGTGACTTCATCCAATGATGTTTAATGTGAAATGTGACTCAATCTTTGCCATTGGACCTTGATAACAGTTTTACAAAAGTTTATCATCTAGTCTTTAAATTAAGCTGTAGATACGATACGTTGAGTGTTGTGTGGATATATTAAAATTCGACTGGATGTTACTTGTTACCCTTGAAAAGGTAAGTGAAATATTTTTGGATGATATAATTTTATTAACATATTAATATATACCTATAAGTGTTCTATTCTGTTTGGATGATACGCTGTTGGTCTGCTGTAACGGTGATGCTATAATTTTATAATGATTGAATCCTTTAACAATAATTTCTTGAGATAAGAGAATCGTAAGCGCAACCTTAGTATTTACATTAGAAACAGGCTAAAATTAACTTTCTGTTATAATCATTTCTAATAATACAACTCGGACTATAAAAAATTATCTATCATCTGTGTATGTGTTACAGAAAATGCATGAATTCAGGTGTTCTATCTATGTATTTTCGGAATTCTATAGATTTCTTACTTTTCTCATGTCCCATTTTCAATACCTATGTACTACTCATACCAAAAACCTTCGTTCCTCCTCAAATTAGCAGCTCATGTGTCCATCTCACCACTCCGACACTACTCTTCGTTCTTCGTTAAATCGATTCTATTGTAGAATGAACTTCCGTTGATCATCATAATGTCAGGCAGCAATTTTAAATTTAAAAATCCTAGTTTTTGTCCGCAAAACTTCGTTTGCGTGGTGTTAGTATCTATTTACAGCGGTTTATTTTTAACCAACTTCATAAAATAAGAATAGGTTTTTAACTTGACTGTTTTTTTTTATTTAAAGAGTATATTCTTGAAATAATCCCATTAAAACTTGGACGAAATTAGATCAGTAGTTTTAATATAAAACCAATTGGGAGGACAACATTGCTTAAATTAACTTGATATGGTGGTTGTCACTTAGGAAGTCTATAATAAAAATGTTCATTATCATAAATAAACAGACCTCAATATCGTAACCCTTGAAAAACCTTGTTTGAAGTCAGACGTAAAAACTTAGCCATAAAATCTTCGCCCGAATAAAATTGAGTACTTATATTCAATTTATAAGAATAGGAACTGTTATTATATTTCTTTGAAGACGTTTTTCTCCAAGTTAACATTCTTTTCAAATTGATATAAAAACGAATTATTGGTTTTAACGAAAAGTAGATAGTCTTTTCATTTCTTTAATAGGATTCGTATGAACTCTATTCTTATATCTTGTTTAGTCGCATGTTTTTTCATACCAAAGGATCATGTCCAATTTTGACCTAAAAATTTACTAACGCGTTTAGTGTATATCTCAAAATGTAGCTTATTATTTACTTATTTCATATCAGAAAATAAAGTCAGGGTAAAAATTGCGAGGCTGATAATTATTTTTTAATAGTACTATGATGACTACTCCAACGCGATTCGGGCCCAATGACGGTTTGCTACGTTTCTTTTCATCTACTACGGAAAAATATTCTTTCGTCATAAGGTTAAAAAGTGCACATTAATAATTAAATTTTTGTTTTATTACATATATACGAGTCAAACTTGGTCAAAATATAAAAAGCTTTGATTTTAATGCACTGACTTTTAAAGTAGCTTCTCAATTTTCTAGAATTTTGAGAGCTATTATAACTTCAAGACATTATTAACAAATTACGAATCTCCCTGGCTTCCAAATAAAAAGATGATAAGATATCTATTTTAAGGAAAAACTACCTAATTTAAATTATCTATAGTCTATAGACGCGACGTTTAATAAAAACATGTGATGATAGGTCAATAACATATGGAAAGTAGACATCATCCTTTTATTTTAATGATTTTAGACTTAGTGACTTTCACAGAGAGAAGTAAAGTCGCACTTCTCTGATAAAACAGGTAAAGTTACAAAAATATAACAACTCATGGTTAACCAACCTCCTAACTTTGAAATCAAAGGGAAGGTTTATTCCTGGGATTTATTAATTTCGAGAGGGTGGTATTTCTGGTAGTCAGCATAAAATTTAAACCCTGTATTGTTACTTTTGTACAATTTGTCACTGCAAAGCATATTAAATGAAAATAACAATACGAAAAGTGTGGGTTTAAAGTTTTCTTGAGGAAGAGGACTATACTAAAAATATAAAGAGTAGTATACTGCATCCTCGATATTAGTTACTTTATCGATGGAATCGTAATTATATGATTTAGGGAAGATTTTTTTTGTGTAATGAGATTCGTGTAAGAGTTCCGTACTGAATAAGACTCGTATTGTCCGTCTGTCTGTCATCAGACTGTATCTCATGAAACGTTATAGTTAGATAGTTGACATTTTCACACATGATGTATGTTCTGTTGCCGATATAATGTTAATAAAAAAACAAAATAAAATATATATTTATGGGAAATCGATTAAAATTATTAACAATAAACATGATTTCTTTGCTCCTTTCCGGTATGGAATCTTGTACGCGACCTGCACTAGGCCAGTTTTTTGAGAGTCGTTTCTAGGGCCTTCTTTTTTGGGCCAGAATATACTGCTGTAAGTAATCTTCCGAGTTTCTGATCTAGTGTTGATTGTTATTTTAGCGCGATTATTGTAATTTTCCTTATGTTTCTAAATGATTCTCGATATAATAGTTTTACTTGTCATTAGATTATATTTAAGTACTTACATCCTGGTTTTAAAGAAATCATCGTGTATACTAAAGTGTGCATAGATTCTCCCTAATCTATTTTGTAACCTTTTCAGTAGGCGTAACGTTTCCATATTTATTTCGATAAGGATTTAATATCACCTACTCAAATAAACGTCTAAAGGCAGCACTTTTCCGAATATATTTTGTTTTTGTGGAAAAATTTGAGCACATTTTATATATAATTTTAAACTTTCCAAATTTCTTTAGAAAGCATTCGTATATCTCATACAGTGTTCACTAAAATAGGCTCTCTTGGAAGTACTTCTATCCCTAGGAAACCATTTAGTGAGATAAAAAATAACCTATATGTTAATCCAGACAAAGAATTGCCTGTATACTAAATTTCATCAAAAGCCGTTCAGTAGTTTTTACGTGAAGAAGATACAAACATACAAACATTTGCTTCTATAATATTAGTAGGATATTAATATACGTAGTTATAAACGTACATATGCCTATTATATGTATTGTTTATGTATTTTGTTATAGGTTTTATTTCCCTTCATTATATCTCCGCCTCAATTGTGCATACCACGGAGCTAATACATAACCACGGCAATAAGTCCGCCAAGCATTAAAATAAATAAATAAAAATTAATATTTTCTTTTAAATTACACGGAATACAACAATCATATTTCACGTTGAAGTTAACCGTGTAGTAACTATGATTTGTACATTAATGAAAAATTTATCTTTCACGTCAAGCATTACATAAATTCATACAAAGCGGTTGATCTTACGTCGTAAATTTTTATATTGTTTTAACGGAATTTGATAAAGTAGGTAAATTATACAAATTTTAATTTTATTTATTTATAAATTTTATTTGATACATATAGACCTATCAACCCAACCAGATATTTGCCTATAAATATTGATGTATACTTCTTTAATTTGACTGGGCATGTTCGATAGAGTTAAGGTCTGGGCTGCGGTCTGACCAAGGTTGCATTACCGACCTCATTTGGGTAATAGAACGATTTAAATTTTTGCTTCAACGAGTATTAAAATAAATTTTAGTAGTCGACAATACAAGAAATATCGTAAATGTCTCCCGATACGTGCCAAAGGTCATCGCCATGCTGTAGCTAATTTATTTGAAAAAAAAAAAAAATGTTGTGCTCGACAATGCAAGAATTGACGGCGTTCGAATCGTCACTAATTTACTCCATAAGGTCACTGTTGCTAATACCTTGGGCAGCCTAGACCCTAACTATCGAACATTTCTGGGACAACTTAAAAAGCTGAATTCGAGCACAAAATCCAGCTCCCATCACGATTACGAATCTGAAAGCTGCGGCAGTAGAGGAATATAAAGACAGATATCCAAGACGTCATGGGCTGACTTCCCTAATAGTTTTTAAAAACTCGGGGAGGAACCACTAATTGTTTAAAAGATAAACTTGCCGTTCCAAGCTTCAGACTTCAAAAAACCAGAGGATCATTTCTGGGTAAATGTATTGCTATGTTCAATAAAGTTCCACAAAATGTAATTGACCTACCCATAAATAAATTTCAAATTCATGTAAAGAATATACTTATGAGTAAAGGCTATTATAAAGTTGATGATTACTTTAAGGATCGCAATGCATGGAATTAATAGCCTTCGCTTTGTTCTATAAAGACTAATTATATGTTCAACTTATGTCCTACAGACTTTGAAAGTTGTATTTACTATTGTGATAAATTGATAATACATATTATTTTGGTAATGACATGATTTATGTAAATGTCATTACTTATGATAAAAAGCTGATAAGTTTCTTTCGCTTGTTCTTCTTGTCAGCTAAAAGACGTCCTGAACAAGTGGTAGGGGAAAAAAGTCTTTTTTGGACGATTCAAAAGTGCTTGTAACAGCCTACTTGAATAAAGATATTTTCATTTCATTTCATTTCATTTCATTTTCATTTCATTTCATTTTCATTTCATTTCATTTCATTTCATTTCATTTCATTTCATTTCATTGTGTAGATTTTCATTATTTTTTCGCGCATATGCAAGTGATATTTTTTTCATAGAAAAATGTATTTAATAATTTTGTTCATTAAAAATAATGTGTCATTTTTTTCGTTTCATTTTTAAATGCTAAACATTTTAAAATGAAAAACGTAACATTCTTTTAAATAATATGTATAATTTTATTTTAAATAATCTTTATAGCGTTAATTGTGCTGTCAGTTTATCTTATGCGTTTGCTTGCTAACAGGCCTTCATCAAAATGCGACACTAAATGAATAGTGAAGACTAGTTTACAATAACTTTCATTGGCCTATGGTGAATTTACACATACTCTTTAAAGTGATGGCAAATTGGCGACTCCAAATCCATAGTGAATTTACTCAATTGAGAATGCGCGCTATAACAGACATCTATTTCCTACAAAAAAAGGCTCGATGATAAATTCGGTAACAATAGATGCACGCCATCCTTTTTATTACGTTAACGATGGTCACGGAGGGACCGGTGGACGTTCACCTTTCAATATTTCTGTCCCACTTGTGAACTGTTTCTCGGCTCCTACGAAGTGACCTCGATTTGGTGTGCGTGGGCGGTGCCCTTTCTCGTTCGCGCCCGCCCACAGGTACGTGGCCCATACGGTTGTACAAACTAGTATTTTTCGTTATACAATATAGGAATTAGTTGTATTTGCATAAATTTGGAATACGCAACCTACCTACTATATGATACTCGCTATTCTACGTTAAATAGTATGCACCTGGTGGAGGTGGTGTGCAAATTTTTATTTAAATCATACGCTATAAACGTTAGAGGTACCGTTGTTGTGATCGAATAAGGCTGGTAAGAATGTGACGAATGATTTTGTAGTCAACATTTATTATTATTCTTGTTTCATTGTTTCAGAAATTTGACTAAACGAAACGATATAATGTCGCGACTACCGACGGCCCTTCTCATCGGGGCGTGTTTTATAGGCACAGTTATTTGCCAGCGCGCTGAGCACCTTTTAGCACAAAACCCATGCTCTAGTAAAACGACATGTAGCGACTGCATCAGAACGCCTAGCTGTGCGTGGTGTTTCGCTGCCGATTTCAATGGACCACGGTGCTTCAATCCAGCTATGGAGGGCGGCACCGGTGGATGTGACGAAGCGTACATCTTCAATCCGGATAATCAGCGCTCTATTGACCCCTTGTATAATAAGGAATTGAGTAGAGGTAAATAGTGTTTTAGGTATTATATTATATGTAAAACTTGATGATTTGACAGCTCATCGAGCCTAAATCAGAGATTTTTGAGATACTGAGAGCGTATACTGTTTCTTTGTCTATCTCAATCTAACTTACGTATTATTAATGCTATAGAAACAGTATAGGGCACGATGGAGTTCATGCTATGTAAGACCCGGAGCAAGATACCCACTAAAGTACTGTTATTCTCAAAAATCTCTGATACATCGATGTCTCCTCTATAACAGCCTTAGAGCTTGCTCTTGATCGAGTATATCCCTTCGTTTGATTTCTTGGTCCGGTCCAGTCCATGCAGGAAACAGCATTATAAAATTAATATAATTACCAATGACAACTTAGTTATTGAAATTAAATATTTTATAAAAAGAAAATATTTTCCTCATGCTTTTATTGCAGCCTAAACATAACATTGAATTTAATCATCAGAATATTATGAACAACGCTTATTTCAGAGTCGACGTTCTCGTAAATTTTGGGTGATTATTAAGTTTATGTAATTTTTTCGTCAAAATTTTGATGACGCATCTTATCGTGCAATTAGTCATAGCTAATGCAGTCATATTTATACGCCCATCTATTAACCTATTGCGTTTGAAAAGGATACAAACTCGACTCAACATTTCCAACTACCTACTTTTCACCCCAGAGTAGATGAATAGTTGTTTGAATTGTGAAAACACGCCGTTATGTCGTGGTTCCCAGACAAATTGTCAATTTTATACCCTTAATAATAACTATTGTTTATTAAAATATCTGTTCATGTTACTTGACTGAAAAAGACAAAACAATGTATAACTACACAACGCTCACACAATGGTTATTCGGGCTTAGGGATTAAAGAGCTTAAATATGTATTTTCAACTTATGAAAATAGGGTAATGATGAATGTTAATATGGTATTGAAACAGCAGTTTCAAGCGCTGTACACTTATTACATGTTTTATTTATTTTCATTTTCTGCACAAGATTTTTTTCGAAGTTCACACTTACTCCGAAATGATACTAATTTTACAGGACTATGAAAGTGCCTATACTTTACTAATCTTTGTGATTTAACTTAAATTCTTAATTCGAACACAAATATTACTTTTCGAAATATGCAACACGTAAACTATGTAGGTATACATGTATATTATATATGTATACTATATTTGGAGCTAAACTTTTAAATTGTTATCTTGTAAAATTATTATCATTACTAATAAATTTCTGCTTATAAATATACGAAATATTTTTATAATGTTGTGGATACAGAATTATGATCATTTTAATTTTTCTGCAGCTATAGGTCGCATGGGTATCGGTATGGGCTCGTCTTCCTACGAAGAAACGATGAGTGCAAAGACTGGAGGGTTTGGTGCCGGTGGAGGTTCCGCTGGAGCGGCAGCTGGCGGTGACAATTTGGTGCAACTCAAACCACAGAGGGTTAAATTGCAACTGAGAATGAGTGAGTTGTTTATTTTTCATAACATAACATAAATAATAAGAGCGATGGAATGATTTGAAATTAACAAATAGTTAATCTATTTTATATAGTGCAAACTCTTAGGTATTCAGATGCAGACCCAAAGCTGAGTACTATGATTAAATGCGCGTGATCTAGGAATTGTTTAAAAACTACAACATACTTCCACGCACTGAGGCTCGCATCTTAATTTATTTATTTTATTGCTGGTGGCGAACTAGGTTGTGTGTTGCAGTTTTTGGGGTTTCAGACCGACGATTGGCGCAGAGTTTTATCGTAACGCTTAAGTCTTAGAGCATGTATTCTTCATATATCAAGATTACCTAAAGATCAATATAATGCTTTTACTCACGATAACGGATGTTACCTCCGTTCTTTATCCAGCCTTTTTGTAATTATTCCGTAGTATAACGCGCATATCGTTATTAATTTACACAAGAGATGAAACAAGGAAAATGTTTTGTTTTTTTTTCTCTACATACATCTACATATCATGTCTCCCCCATATATGTTTTGAACAGTGCCGTTCTTGTGTTACTAATAATATTACTTCATATTGAGATAGTAAGTTGATTAATATGAAATACGCGTATAATTCTTATTACAAAAAACGACATATAATGTCGATTTCTCTTTACCTTCTTGAATACTAGCATTACGCTAGCGGCTTTGCCCGCGTGATCTAGTTTTAAGTCCAGAAATGCGAAAATTCCATAAAAACTCATCCCCTAAATTTACCTCCTTAGGGGTCGAATTTCGTAAAATCCCGTCTTAGTGAGCACCTACGTCATAAAAAGCACCCGCACGCAAAATTTGAAACTCCTAGCACTTGTAGTAACAAAGTTTCATACAAACTTTAATCCTCTAATTTATCCCTTAGGGTTTGAATTTCATAAAATCCCATCGTAGTGATTCTTCTAAAAAAACCCACATGCAAAATTTTAAACTCCTAGCACTTGTAGTAACGAAGTTTCATGCAAACTCTCATCTTCTAATTTACCCTCTTATTCAACCCAATCTCATAAAATCCCGCATAAATAATAAGAGCGATGGAATGATTTCAAATTAACAAAATAATCCCATAAAAATCCCGCATGTAAAATTTGAAACTCCTAGCATAAATAGAAAAATGAAATTTCTAGCACAACTCCTAACTGTTGTTATATAAAAAACAATTCAAATTAATTTTAGTATCCAGAGGTTAAATACGGATACCCTATTACTAAGACTGTCTTTCTGTCTGTCACCAGGCTGTATCTTATGAACCCTGATAGTAGAGTTGAAGTTTTCACAGATTATATACGACTTTTGCCGCTATAACAACAAATACTAAAAAACCAGAATAAAACAAATATTTAATGGGGCTCACATACAACAAATGTGATTGTTTGCTTTTTTCATAGATAATAGTAAGAAACCCTTCATGCAATTTCTTCCAGCTATATTATTTATTAAAAAATAAACGAGAGATAAGTAAATCTATCACATAATATGCATCACAATAAAAAAATATTTTTACTCCTTCACAGACGAAATGCAGAAGTTGACATTCGCTTATTCGCAAGCTCAAGATTACCCAGTAGATCTTTACTACTTGATGGATCTGAGTAGATCAATGAAGAACGACAAAGAAAAGCTCAGTACCCTAGGTAGCTTACTGTCGAGCACCATGAGGAACATCACATCTAACTTTAGAATAGGCTTTGGTTCATTTGTGGATAAACTAGTCATGCCTTACGTCTCCACTGTGCCTAAAAAGTGAGTAGATAAATGTTTTGTACAATAGGGGGCGTTCAAGTACTATGTTACGCAATTTGAGGGTAAGGGGTATGTGAAACTTAACGATGCTTTACATGATTGGAAGAGGGGTTCGTACAACACGTACACGGTTTGAACTCAATTTGAAAGTGAGTTCATCATAGTATGCTCAAAAGAGGGAGATTTGCATCCCCAGCTGTTTCTGACGTATAACAATTCTCATTCTGACTTGCCAGCGCCACCGTGTCAAAAAATGATAACCAACTTTTCAATGCTGGCAGACCAATAGGTTTGTCACCTTGAGTGTTACGTAACGTTTATAGAGGGGGGGGGGGGTAGAGAATTTGGTTGAGAAAAAAAGGCGCTACGTAATACTTTACCTGCCCCTTAAACGAAACAGGCAGAGACTTAATTGGTCTTTGCGCAGAGCTGTTTTTTATTGTTTTTTTTATATCTGTCCTATTTCTGTGTAAATGATAACACAAAAAATCTATTTAAATTAAATAAAAAATTACGTGAAAAATAAATTAAAATTTGTCATCATTCTTGTTGTTATATTCTATGTAATAGTTTATAGATATTTATAGTTTATATACATACATAATATAACTTGATACAATAAGATAATTATATTTTAGCTTGATCTCGCCCTGCGACGGCTGTGCAGCTCCGTACGGTTTCAAAAACCAAATGTCTCTGAGTAACGACACGGACTATTTCGATGTAAGTACATACATACATTTACCATGTATTTAATTTTCAATAACTTTTCATCTAAAACTGTTATTACTTAATCTATTTACATTTCATTATTTTCCTTAAATAATTTTGTAAGTATTTGTTTTAACATATATTCTCACATTAATCTTATTCATATAATATATCACACATCCATAGTTCGCGAAACTTTTTAATTACTCATGGTAAGCTGCCTTTTAAATTCATTTGTTTACTTTTCGATTTATACATTTTTATTTCAATCGGTTCTGTAAATCAGACGATATCTGGTATAATAGATGGACGGATAGGCATACAGAACTTTAAAAGAAAAGGAGACCTCCAGATTTAAATAAGACAATTCGTTTCAACAGCAAGCAGTAGCTAAGGCGGACGTGTCTGGTAACCTCGACGCGCCTGAGGGTGGATTCGACGCCATAATGCAAGCGGTCGTCTGCAAGGGTCAGATCGGTTGGCGTGATCAAGCGCGGCGGTTGCTCGTCTTCTCCACCGATGCTGGCTTCCACTACGCTGGTGATGGTAAGGTGAGTGCTGTAAACATTGACGACATACGTCGATCGACAATTTTTTTCCAACCAGGAGAGCTATTCTGTAAATAATCCTAATTCGAATCCACTCGTGTGCCCTAATTCATGTCATTTAGTGTAGAAATTATATTGGATCCATTTTTGTATAAAAATACAAAACAAGATTGATTGATTCATACTTATCTCAAATATTTCTATGTCGTTTCGAAACTCACTTCACTTATGCCACGAAACGTTATGACCAATTCAAGGTTGAGCGGATGCCGCTTTGGAAGTAAATTCGGACACCCGAGTGAATTCGTATTTGGGTTCGGATTTTACAGAATCGCAGGGCAGGTTAGACATTTGGTATTGCGCTCTTTCCCCCTCTCATATAAAAATGTAGGATTATATGATGTTTTTCTATTAAATAAAGGGACTTGGAAAACATACCCGTCCTAGTGTAGCCTGTCTTTTTTAACATTATATTACATACATTATATTATGATGATTTTGGCGCCTCCCTATGTTACGGGCAATCTATATCATTCTGGAATTCTGTACAGTACTAAGGCTATATACTGAACTGAGGGGCGTCCAGGGAATGTTATTAGAAGAAATTGTATTAATACAATTTCTAAAGATTGTATAGAGCACCTGCTGTTTCACCGGCAATGTGTTGGTAACCAGCCTAACTATAAAATGATGGACAAATGATACAAGTTTTATTACTTAAAATAAATTTTATTAAAATTAACATTTTTATTTTATGGATATATAGGTATATATAAACTATTGAAAAAGATACCATTCAAGTAACAAGTTAAAATCAAAAGTAATTTCACTTCTGTCATGCCGTCGCTTTGATGTCATGGCCTTCGGAAACTAATATCGTTATAATATGCATGCATAAGGTTGAATTTACTAAATTCTAATATGAGTAAGATAGGCGTGACATCAGTTTGCGGTCACGTGCCAAAGAGTATAAAATATTAGTATTTTCATAATTAAGTTTAGCAAAATTATAAATATAATAAGCAATTTGTGTTATTATAGGTAATAGTATATTAAAACACTGCCAAACAAAAAATGATAAGTATTTATTTTCGTTTACTGTCTACACCCGTATCGATTAGTGCAATTTATATCTGTAGGTCACGTGATAGGTTAGATATTTAGCGCGATCGTGAAGCGTAGCGTAAATTTTGGGGTTATTTTATTTTTTCAGACATCATAAATTTCGTGGCCGACGAAAATAGCTGATGTCTTTTAACGTTTTGAGCTTATAACATACTATTACCTATTAATATATGGACGTGGTTTAATGTTACTTTTTTTGTCTAAATAAAAAATTGATCCGCAGTTGCCGACAACTTAAATTAAGACAATGCTTTTTTTTATTTTGATAACTGAGAAAAAAAAAATTAAAACTTCTTATTCTATTCGTAGCTTGGTGGCATCGTGCAACCAAATGACGGTGAATGTCATATGGAAGACAATTCCTACACACACTCAACTTTACAGGACTACCCAAGTATTTCACAGATCAATCTGAAGGTAAAGCATAATATGAAGTCTTACCATAATTAAAAAACTCCAATAAATCAACCTTTTTTGTTGAGTTTGTACTGAATTTGTATCTGTCTCTGTTATTCCAAGCATCTAGTTCTATATATTCTTTTATTGTAGGTGAAACAGCACGCTATCAACGTAATATTCGCTGTGACGTCGGAACAAATAAGTGTGTATGAAGAGTTGAGTAAGAACATTGAAGGCTCTAGTAGTGGTGTATTGAGTGAGGATTCAGGGAATGTGGTGGAACTAGTGAGAGAACAATACAATGTAAGTATAATAATCCGTGTTACATAAGTTTTTTTTTTTGACAAAGTTTGGTAAAGGTAACATCACCATATCGTAATATAATCATGTCATATCGTAATAATGAAATGAAAATGTATTTATTCAAGTAAGCTTGTTACAAGCACTTTTGAATCGTCCAAAAATATTTTTTCCCCTACCACTTGTCCAGGACGTCTTTTAGCTGACAAGAAGAACAAGCGAAAGAAACTTATCAGCTTTTTATCATAAGTAATGACATTTACATAAATCATGTCATTACCAAAATAATACATATATTTAACAATAATAAATACAAGTTTCAAAGTCTGTAGGACATAGGTTGACATACCTTAATTAATCGTTATAGAACAGCGAAGGCTATTAATTCCATGCATTGCGGTCCTTAAAATAATCATCAATTTATAATAGCCTTTACTCATAAGTATATTCTTTACATGAATTTGAAATTTATTTATGGGTAGGTCAATTACATTTTGTGGAACTTTATTGAACATAGCAATACATTACCCAGAAATGATCCTCTGGTTTTTTGAAGTCTGAAGCTTGGAACGGCAAGTTTATTTTTATTTCTTGTGTTAAGATTACACTACTTTTTTTTGTGAAGGAATCGTAATGTTTTCTTGTGTACATAATATTCTCATAGATGTATTGAGAGGCAACAGTCAGAATATTTATTTCTTTAAATATTTCTCTGAGAGATTCCCTAGACCGTAAATTATATATAGACGGACAGCTCTCTTTTGTAGAATAAAAATATCCTGAATGCTAGCCGCAGAACCCCACAACAATAACCATACGTCATTACACTATGAAAATAACTAAAATATACCAATCTTGCCGTTTCAACATTTGTCAAGAGTCTAATTTTCTTAACAGCAAAAGCTGCAGAACTCAGTCTACTTGACAAGCTATCAATATGAGGATCCCATTGCAGTCGGGAATCTAGTGTAATACCAAGGAACTTTGTCGATTCTACTAACTCAACTTTTTCACTATTTACATTTATAAGTGTACTGACATGCCTCACATTAGGTAATGCAAACTTTATGCATTTCGTTTTATTTGAATTGAGCTTTAAATTATTATTATCAAACCACTGTAGAACATTGTCGAGAGCAATTTACATCGTCAAAACAATCATTACCCCTCAACTTTAAACAGTAAAGAGGTGTCATCTGCAAATAATACTGTCTCGCACAAATTCTTCGTAAAGTGAGGAAGATCATTAATATAAATTAGAAAAAGCAATGGTCCTAATACGATCCCTGAGGTACGCCCATAGTAACTGGTGCCCCTGCAGATTTCGCTTCATTAATTACTACTTTTTGAATTCTAGCAGAAAGATATGATTTTATTAGATTAACCTTTTGAGGCCGGCGGGCGTGAATTCACGCCCAACAAAAGTTCCGTTGCGTCCGGCGGGCGTGAATTCATGTCAATTCATGTCAATTCATTTTTTATACCTTTGTCGATTGTTTTTGGCGTTGGGAACATTACCAACGTATGCTTCATAGTCTAGATTTACTCTATGCAACTTCATTCTACTCAGTTTAAAGAAAAAAATAAATATTTTGACACTTTCGTTGACGCGGTTGATACCGGTGCTGTGTTATTTTCAAGTGTGAACTTTTGTGATTATCTGAGTGCTTTTCTGTGATATAATTGGTAAGTTATGTTTATTTATCTATATTAGATAGTGTTTATGACCGATATTACTTGCAACAACAGTATATTTTTGTAATTCAAGTGATAAAAATCGAACTAACGAAAACCTCTAGCTGAACTATTTTTATCAGTCCCGATTTCCAACAAGATAAAAACATTATATTTCTTATTGGAACACTATTGCAAGTAGATAATTTTATAGTAAATATCTTCTAGAATCCATTTTTATCAATAGTTTTTGATAAAAGTCAGCATTTTTTTCCTTTTTCGATGAAAACTGTGCAAGGTACTAAATTACACTCACACAATTGCATTTTTCTTGTATGTGTGAGTACGTCTAAAATGGCCGCCGAACGGATTACAGAGATAGGGTGTTCTTTTTTATTTGCTTGAATTATAATATATTTTTACTTATGCAGTGATCTCGTATTTTGATAGTTTATATCAAGGAACCCACTTCCCGTTGTTCATTTGAGCTAAGTTCTGCAAATGTACCTTTTTTTTATACCACTAAGCTGGCAAACAAGCGTACGGGCCACTTGATGGTAAGCGGTTACCGTAGCTGCAACACATCCGAGTTTAGGCTCATTGGCTTTGTCGTGTCAAGAACTTTCTGATTATATTGTGTCCAGGATCTGATGATGAAGCTAGAAGGTAATGTGACGGAACTCCTAAACTAAACGTCATATCTTATCGAGTTTGGGCTCGTTGGCTTTGTCGTGTCAAGAACTTTCTCAGTTTTAGTGAGGTTAGGCTTGAAGAACTAATTTACACGCTTTTTATTCAGATCTCAAAAATGGCTGAAAATCCGAATAATGCTGGACCAAGCGGGTCACAGGGCCGCCTTCTGCCGTGCTATCCCTGCACTGTAACACCTGGTGGCACGGTACGGGTTGAGGATTCTTCGACCTTGTACCATATCACGGACAGCGGAGGTACTCGTGTAAGTACACATAATATTCAAGCTGTACGTTTCATATCGCAGTATAACTATGTTGCTCTAATTTGATTTAATACTTTTTTTAGCCATGGAGACCCGTCAGCACTCCTCGCATGGCAACACCTAGCGAGCGGCGCAAGCGGGCCAGCGCGCGTTCAACAGTTGGTGGGCTCCCGTCAAAGTGCCGTCGTTCCCTGCATCTTACGGAAGATGACATAACAAATGTATTGAACGACTCGGGCAGCGACGATGACGCAAGTAATGATGAGGACTTTCGCGATGACGAACCCGACGTCGTTGACTTTGTGTTCTTCCGCGAACGCGCCCGTAAACTGCGGAACTGCGTTGTGATGGATGACCCGCAAGATGGGTGTGTGCTCAACGAGGAAGGTGATGTGAGTATGAATGTGAGCGTGCAGTGTGAACGGCTGGTTGAAGAGCGGATTGATGAAAACATGGATGTGGTGCATGAATGTGATGATGATGTAAGAGGACAGGCTGCAAGTGATGAAAGGTCTGTAAGTGATAATTTAAGAGGACAGGCTGCAAGTGATGAAAGGTCTGTAAGTGATAATTTGAGAGGACAGGCTGCAAGTGATGAAAGGTCTGTAAGTGACAATTTAAGAGGACAGGCTGCAAGTGATGAAAGGTCTGTAAGTGATAATTTGAGAGGACAGGCTGCAAGTGATGAAAGGTCTGTAAGTGATGAGATGAACGTGGAATCTGGAAGGATGGCTGTAAGTTTTGAAAGTGGTGAAAGGTCTGCAAGGGTGGGGCAAACATTGGCAGCTCACGTGGATACGTCTTTCTCCTGGTTCGAGGATTTTAATACCTTTACCGGGCAGAAAGAAACGTATACACGCGTGCCTGGCCCATCTTTTTCTTCCCATGATCCCACTCAAATCTTTTGCAAGATCTGGGATCGCGAGTTTTTAGAGCTGGTTGTCCGAGAGACGAATTATTATGCATGCGAGGTAATCTCGCAGCTCTCCGAACCTGATCTTGGTCCCGGAATTCCAAATTATTTGGAATCTTGGAAAGAGATCACGGTCGAGGAGTTGTATAGATATTTCGGTGTGATGATAGTTCTGTCTTTCTGCAACCGCTCTAAGATTCACGATTACTGGACCACGGGGATAATGGAGATGCCCAAGCTCCGTGAGATCATGGCAAGGGACAGATTCCTCATGATCTCCAAATTTTTACATTTCGCTCGAAATGATAATTTGGAGACCAGGGGACACCACCGCAAAATACAAAAAATAGCGCCAGTAGTTGCACATTGTAACGACAAATTTAGGGCATTATATACCCCTCAACAACATCTCAGCTTAGACGAGTCCTTGCTATTATGGAAGGGCCGTCTAAGCTGGAAACAATGTATCAGAACAAAGGCTGCACGGTTTGGTATTAAATCCTTCGAACTTTGTGAAGCGGAGACCGGGTACCTGCTTCAATACCGTCTGTACACCGGGAAGATAACTGACCAGCATCCAGAGCCCTTATATGGGTTTTATGATCATACCGCCAAGATTGTCTTGGATCTCATAGAAGGGTATCTGGATGTTGGTCACGTCCTCGTCATGGATAATTGGTATAACCAATTACCCATGACGAGATATCTCAAATCTCGGCGTACAGACGTATTGGGCACAATAAATCGGCGGCGCAATCACGTGCCACCGGTAATAAAGGATTTAATGCCAAACGTGCAGCGGGGTACTACAGTAACTAGACATTGCGGTGACATCGCGTTGGTTGCGTGGAAAGACGTTAAATTAGTCACCGTTATGTCTACTTACCACACACCCGAAATGGTTCCGGGGAGACGAGCGGGACAGGCGGTCCAGAAGCCGACTGCGGTACAGGAGTACAACAGGTACATGGGGGGCGTAGATCTTAAAGATCAAAAATTGTCAATGTTTCTGGTGGAGCGCAAGCGAAACCAGAAATGGTACATGAAAGTGTTTAGAAGGCTGTTCAATACCAGCCTTTTAAACTCTTTCATAATTTATACAAAGAACCCCATGTACCGTGTGGACTCTCACCGCCAATTTCGGCTGAGGGTCGCCGAGGGGCTTTTGAGCCGGTACCCACAAGTCTCTTCGGGACCACACAGAGCACCGAGCACACCGCAAGTGCTTCAACGGCTCCAACCCGGGAATCACTTCCCGGTTTACACCGAGTGTGCCTCAGAAACCCTGAGGGCAAAACATAAGCAGTTGCGTTGTGTTCGGTGCACTGCCCTAAAGAAACGCACTTGTGTTACCATAATGTGCAACCTCTGCAACGTCGCTCTATGCATTGGGAAATGTTGGCAGGACTACCATACTTTGGTGAATTTGCAAGTGAGTCAGTGACTGAAGAGTTTGATTGAGTTGTAAGAATAAAAGCTCGAAAGATGAAAAGAAAGGTGGAAAGACAGATGGAAAGAAAGAAAAATAGAGGAGAAATAATAAAGAAAGAAAAAAAATTCACAGTTCCTAATTGTAATTATTTAGTCATACATTTTTTTGTACCAGTTGATTATTATAATTATGAATTACTCAATAAACGGTTATTTTATTATTAGTGACCCCCTCCAAGAGGCGCTCTTAGCCAGTTGCACTCATCGATCGGTAAACGATCCGTGGGTTAAGCAACCTATGGCGCGGTCATTGCGTAGATGGGTGACCGCTTAGTGGTATTAGAGCTGAATATTATTATTATTAAACAACTTCGACACTAGGTTGGCCACTAACCTATAAAAAAGTCCGATATAAGGCAATAGGCTTACCCCCTAGTACATAGGACCTAAATAATGTGTGAAATGTTGGTATATAGCAATATACATTCGGGGATTACATGCATGATTTTTTTTGACCCCCTCCAAAATTTCAGTCAGTCACCGCCGCTGACCAAACATACTGACATACTTTGGCATTTATGTTATGAATAGGTATAATATTCAGTTAGCTATTTACTATTTTATAAAACAATAAAAAACGCTTTGCCAAAATATTACAAAAGTCTCAACACCACACACAACACATCGAACACCGAACCACACATAACACCGAATCAAACAAACACTAATAACTTACTATTTCCCTATGATCAAATATCGCCCGTTCAAAAATGGAACATGCTGTATGCAATAGTGTGTCTACACAAAACGTGACCTTGTACTAGATCGCCGCGTAAGTTTGAACTGTAAATAAACCAACACTTTGTTAACGTTTTATGATAATATTTTGTATGCCATGTATATAAGTATTATACATCAACGAGTTCATAATTTCTTCTTTTAATTGAAAACTGAATTAGTTGATCGAAATATGACGATTATCATACATAAATACGCTCAAAAGTAAACTGCTTTGCTTTTTATGGAATTATACACCCTTTGAGATGTTTAGTTGTATTATGAAAAATCTATTGCTTCAACAGTTATGTATCAACATATATACTATTATTGAATGTTGTTTTTATATGATAATATAAAAAAATATAGTGATTACGCTATAATACTTTCATAAAAAGGGTTTGAAAACGAGCGCTCTCCGCGCGCGAAATCTGTTCTTCGTCGAATTTTTAGCGTATCTTTGCGAGTGAAAAAGTATAATTTCAATAATGAATACATGTATTTTTTCATTTTTATTTTGAAAGACCATATTATAGAGAATGTAGGGACATAAAAACAAATATAAAAACGTAATGTATTTGTTTATAAAATAGATTTATTGTCAACAAACCGGATTTTTTATAGTTTTCTTTGAAACAAAGAGCTGTACAAAATTAAATAAACACTCAACTATTATTATTTCTATTTCTACTTATCGGCTATCATACTGGCTTTCAAAGAAAGTAACATGATCTTCTAAAAACAAACACCAAGAGCTGTTATAAACAAAAAAGTGCGATGTCAAGTACCGCTCGCGCGATAACGTAATAGCCCGCCGGCACAAGCGATTTACGACGTTTTGCGGCCCGGGCTCAAAAGGTTAAGTGAGTGAATGTAATCATATCATATCGTCTATTCATCATAATTATATGTCGCGAATGAACTTCACGTTTTGTGAAGTTCTAACACATATTAGTTTAGAGTAAATGATATGTTTTAATTTAATTAATGAAATATAAACATATAAATTTTAGAGTGAATGATATGTTTTTATTTAATTAATGAAATATAAACATATAACACGATTAAAAGTCGTTAGAAATATTTTAATTATTGTGACGTCAAACTCTAATACACCACAAGTGTCGCAGGACCGCGTAGGCGACAGTGACATTATTATGTTGAATGGGGATTCCAACGTCAGCGTATGATTCTAAAAGTGAATTTTGCTTTGTTGTTGTCAATTTTCAATATATTTTATTAAGTTCTATAAATTCTCCTCTATGCATAAATACTAGATTTATTATATTATTTCGTTTTCTAGAAAATCACATCGACTGTAGAAATGAAGGACACTTCGAGCGATGCCGTGCAGATAGTCTATTACTCATCCTGTCTAGGTGGAAAGGAACCCATACAGACGAACAAATGTGATGGGCTAAAGGTATTTTTAATTGGTCATTTAACAATTATAAACCATTCACTGGTCACGAATATTTGTTTTGTACAGTTTACTAGCATATTTAATATATTTATCTGCTGATTTTAAGCTTAATTATCAGCGAATTAACGCCTAAATTATTTGTCAAGTATCCACATTTGTTACGAACACTATAAACCGAGAACTTGTTAATATGTATGTGTTATTTATTGTTTTTTAGGTCGGAGATATTGTCACGTTTACGGCGGAAATAACTCTGAAAGAGTGTCCCAAAGACCCAAAGAACTGGAAGCAATCGTTCCAAATTTACCCTGTGGGTATATCGGAAAATCTTATGGTGGAAGTGGAAATGATATGCGATTGTCCATGTGAGCATCCTGGCCATCACGTGAGTATAATATTGTAAATCTTATAATTACAATAATTCCTTTTTACGTCATAAAATCCATATGTGTATATGTAATTTTAGATCAGTCAACTGGTTCAAAATTTGTCCCACATATTAATAGGACAGGTCAGGAACGAGATTCTTTGATTAGTTTTGGAAGTGAAAAAATAATGAAAATTAGCATTACCTAAAATTGACATTGATATAAATATATTCCGATTTAGGGTCCTAAAATCCAATGGAATTTAACAGTAGTTTGAAATTTAAGATTAGATCTAAGAGGTCTAATCTTAAGTCTGTTCGGTATACCATTATACAGAAAACAGTAATATCGTTTTCTTCCTCAGGCGTACGATGATAGTCCGCTAGTTTGCAGCGGTCAGGGTATATCCGCATGCGGCGTTTGCCTCTGCAATCCGGGCCGATTCGGGAAAGGTTGCGAATGTTCCGCTCACGGTGGTGTATCACTGGAACAGGAGCGAGGCTGCCGACCAACTAACGCTACGTTCGGACCGCTGTGTTCTAACCGCGGCACGTGTATATGCGGCGTTTGTGAATGCAACAAACTAGATGACCCACTCAAAGTGAGTTAAGCTTCTTTAACTAGTGTTCAGATAGTAAGAAAAAATATTAACATACTATTTTTCCGAGACTTTACCCGCCTAAATTGTAATATATCTCACATACAGGAAGCTACATCAAACGCGGATACGTTTGATGTAGCTTCCTGTATGTGAAATTATTTAAAATGTTTCCAGGGGTTACAGAGCTTTTTCAATTTAAATAAGAAAACAATCAAAACTTTCTTCTTTATAATATTAATATTGATATATATTTTTTTAAAACAAGAATAGTATAAAATATTTTTATCTTTACACTTTTTATTCCAAAGTTTGCATGGTTACAGATTGAAATACGGATAGCTGTGATTCGGTATATTAATAACTGTGGACTGATCAATATATCTGGCTAATCATAATTTTTTTATTTTTCTAAATTTCAACGAAGTAGTAAGAAAAATGAGTTTTTGTAAAATCAAAACTCTAATAAAATACAATAATTTTAACGCTAACAATAGCAATTGGACATTTGTTTGAAAACTAGAATTGATGTATGAATATAAATTTCTTCTTATCTTCTACTCTATATAGGTCTCCAAGGAATGGTTTAAATTTTTTTTCTTCTCTGTCTTGACACGTTAGCTTACTTACTATAAATGATAAAATATTATAAAAAATATTGTTTTAAAAGATGTGCGAGTGAACAAATTGTGTTGCCTAGGTGATATCTGGTCCGTTCTGTGAATGCGATAACTACACGTGCGATATGAACAAAGGCTTACTATGTTCCGGCCACGGAAGTTGTGTATGCGGCGAGTGCGTTTGCGAACCAGAATATTCAGGACCGGCGTGCGCTTGTCTCAAGGATCAGTCAGTTTGTAGATCGCGGGGTAAGTATTTTACAATAATGCATTATAAGGTTGTTTGTTATATAAGCCCGCGCCAGACATGTGCCCGAATGCGCAAATACATATAAAGGCGTGAATACACATTTGTAGTTTGCCATCATGAGTCGGTTTTTGTGCGTGCACTAAGTGTGGCCTGTCAGACTTATTGCAATGTTAAGCAGAGTGAGCAATGAAGAATGTTAACAATTTTTTTTTATTAGCACTCCATATTCTCTTTCAAAAATAAAAAATACTACTGAAAGAATTACTTCGATACGACAATTAGTTTCCGATTTAGAAGTAAAACAAGTTGTAACCGCACGACGCGGGCTGCCGGTGACGGTGTGACGTCATTGCACAACACGCACAGTCTGGCTCACTTAGTCCGCTCGCAATAGCGCGCCTGTATCGTCGAAATTTTACCTAAATACTTTTAAAAATGTCCAATCCAAATATTAGGAAATCATGTGTTGTGCCTAAATGTAAAAATACAACTACTAATTCGTCGGGAAAGTTGTTTTTTATAGACATCCTTATGATAAATAGACATCTTTTCAACCTCTTTTTTTTTTACATATAAAATGTGAAAGAGAACACTGTATTTAATATATATAACACTTGGTAGCAGTCGTTGAAGGCTCTTCGCTTCGACAATGTAGCCATATTAAAAATGCTACAGTATTTTAACAGCCACCTCTGCTGGCGGCACAATCTTCGCAGGTTACATTTAATACTTCTTGATCCTTTTCATTACATTCTAAACTGCAATGATAAGGTGTGGTACGTACGCGGTGTTCTGGCGTGATTCTACATTTAACTGTACATACATCACCTACTCTTTTAACTTGAACATAACCAATAGCATCATTGCCATAGCTGTTTCTTGCTGATCTGAAATAAGTTTCAAATAAAAATAAATAGCCTTAAGTATTTTATTAGTAAAAAAATACTAATAAATAAATAAGGTTTAGTACATCTGTTCAAACTTCTATATTTGCAACAAAAAAATAATTTAATAAAATGGCCTTAAGTATTTTGTAAGTAAAAAAAATACTAATAAATAAAAAAGGTTTAGTACATCTGTTCAAACTTCTATATTTGCAACAAAAAATAATTTAATAAAATGGACTTACGTATTTTGTTAGTAAAAAAAAATACAAACAAAAAAAGGTTTAGAACATCTGTAACGTTTAACCCACTACATCTACATCCTAGGTACCTATCCTACTTCCTACTTATATTATAAATGCGAAAGTTTGTGTGTGTGTTTGTTTGTTATCTTTCACGCAAAAACTACTGAACAGATCTGGACGAAATCTGTAATAACACATAGGCTACTTTTAATCCTGGGAAAATGTACAGCTCCCGAGGGAATCGTGGGCGAAGCTGCTGGCGGAAGCTAGTTTGCAATAAATCTAATACAAAACTATAATACATATTTGTCTTTAACGTAAAAATTTAATGGTAGGTAGGTACTTCTACTATTTGAGTTGCATTCTTCCATTGCGACATGACATTAGTTGCGTATTTTGTTTTGATAAAACAATTTAGAACAGATAAACTATTAAGCATCAATAGTAGCAAGGAAAGTTTACTTACCTATGCATTTTTATTCCTCGCATTTCGGCGGCAACGAAATTACTATTTGTTAATATATAATGCGCAACTTTTAATCCATCTATTTTATTTAGATTATCCGATTGCCCTTTTTCGAATCCTTTGTCTATTTTATTAATCGAATAATATTTAATATTATTAGACTATTAACTTAATACACGGGCGAAAACAACAAAATACTGCGCAAGCTATTATATCTACTATAACCGCTGGCGACTTGATACTAAGCGGGGCACGGCGCGTTGTGACATGACGTCACAAGCGGTCACGTGGCTGTTAGCGGGATTCGATATTTTTCGAAACTTTGAATGCATATAAAATCAAAATTACTAGGTATTTTTGACTACAACAAAAACTAGTGTATTTGTATACATAAGGGCTTTATTGAGACAAAATTTCAAGCGATTTGGCAATAATAGTAACATTCTTCATTGAGGTGTCTTTTTTATGCTTACAATGGAGTGGAGTAATAATGTTATTATTGCATTTTTTGAGATTCTTTAAACAGAACCATTAATATGGGGTCCTAAAAATCCCAATTAACAACGCGTAGCTTCGAATAAAAATAGTTTCTTCGTGCTTTTTCGTTGTTCGTTCTGTCAACCGCCTTTGCAGAAGATGTGAAACGGATAACAATCTCATATGTTTGTTTATTTTTTATAAATAACATGTTTAAGTGGTAATGATTATGATTTATGTCCCGATAATACCTACTAGATTTTAACAAAGCTATCTTCAATGTTTGACTACAACCCGTCAAGTGTCCAAAATGTTGTTCATTTCTTAATGTCAGTTCTGAAGTTAATAGGACGCATCATTGCGTCAGATATGCCCCACCCCCTTACGGTTGATCGATGTTATCTTGACGACATCATGACGTCATTCGTTAAGTTTTGACTGTATAATAAAATATTCATAACTAAAATGAAGAACGCTATTTATATATATTATCTATATATATTCTTGGTTTTATAGTATGACTAATCGAGACTCGAGAATTTATTTTTACATACTAATATGGTTTTTAAAATATTTTTTTTTGATATAGAAAATGGTGAAATTTGTAGCGGAAATGGCAAATGTGTATGTGGACAGTGCGTGTGCAATGTGGATGACGAGCATCACTATTCTGGAACGTATTGTGAAAAGTGTCCGGTGAGTATTTACTCTACTTTTATGCGTTTTATACGATGATACATACTATAATTTCTTTTCAGTATATTAAGACCATTGATACAAATAACAATAACTCAGTTGGATAGTGTTAAATAATGTAGTGTAATTGAACTTTTTAGGAGCCCTTGTTAGTTACGTCGCACGTATTTGATTTTTTACCGACTAAAACAATATTCAATGGAAACTACACTTCTGAGATTAGTGTTATTTATATTCTGTACAAAAGGTTAGACATAAAGTAGTCTGAATTTTGGTGTATTATTTAAATTTTGAAATGTGTTAAAATTTTAGGCCCCCTCCCACTGCTTTCAGATAATGTCACAATTCGTTGTCACCCTTCCCCTAAGCGTGTGCTTATAATGTACAGATGTTATTTGCCTTGATGTTCTAAAATATACGTAGTATCTATTTGTAACTAAAAATCGAGTTAAAGGTGCTTTAAGTTTGTAGGGTCGAGTCCCATTGTACCTGGTACTACTGAATTTTTCATTAAAAAAGATTATAATAATCAGTCGGGTCAATCTAGTAATTGGAATTTTTTAAGTTGACTCGGGCCTGGTTATTGTGGCACCTACGTTGTCTCAGATACTCCATATTACGGGGGCTTAAGCTATGTATGTAATGTTGTGTAATATTTATTTATTTATTATGTTTGACAGACTTGCCCTGGTAAATGCGGTCAGTTCAAAGATTGTGTACAGTGCGAGGCACACAGTCGCGGCCCTCTGTACCACCCCGACGAAGTGGAAGGCAACCGATGTCTCAACTGTAGTCTGTTCCCAATCATTGTGGAAGGAAAACTAGAAGGTTAGTAATATTATAACTTTAATTAAAAATACAAAATTTCAAAACTAGAATACGCATTGTAAGCAACGTCATTTATGACATGCACTGGTGCGCGAGTTGAAATTATGTCAAAGTGCAAGTGTAAAAAAGTGTAGAATTTACATATTTTCAGTTTAAAAAAAGTTACTCCTAGAAGGTAGTAAGGTTTGCTTATTCTCTGTATAATATGAATTTGGTTTAATACTAAAATTACAATTTTAGCGTAAATTTACTCTGACGCTAAACCATTAACCTTTATCAAATTTCATATAGAAATTGACTCTTAATTCAATCAAATTAAAGTTGCTTTTGAACGTCAAAATATGTATGTCACGTACATTTGTCTGTTCCATGTCGCCGATAATTGCTAACTAGAACGGATTGCTAACTAGATCTATAATAACTTTGTAGATTACCAAAAATTTTGTAATAATGGTAAATCTTTCGTTTAATTTTAATTAGAAATGTTTTCCATGTTCTGGAATATAATTAATTAAAGTGTGTTTGGTTTTGTAAAGTTTTGAAAATTAATTTGTAATTTTCACATATCGTTGCAGCGAATGAAACATTGAACGAGCATTTGTGCAGTTTCTATGACGACGAAGACTGCTTATATCTGTTTGTATACACCTATGTTGAGAATCAGAGGTTGGTTATAAGGGCACAAAAGGAGCGGGAATGCCCTAAGAAGGTATGAACCATTCATATTTATTCACCTACTAGAGACCCAATAATAGAACATATTTTAGTGTAGGGGTCGAATATCACGTAATTTACAGGAATACTGGATGCATAGAGTATTTAGACACGATACAGTATTGTAAAATGTCTGATACTCGGATCTGTTCTTTTAAATACGTTGCACCTCTACCACTGAACAGATTTAGACGAAATTTGGTACAGAGATACTTTGTGATATTATATATTTAAATATGTTGGATACTTTTAGCCTGGATATCATCCTAAAAGTTTGGAATGTTATTAATTCTATGCTGGGGCACGAGCTAATATGTATATGACTTTATTATACGCAGGTGTTCATTCTGGGCATAGTGCTGGGTGTTATCGCGGCTATAGTTCTGGTAGGGTTGGCGCTCCTGATGCTGTGGAAGATGGTCACCACAATACATGACCGTAGAGAGTTCGCGCGCTTCGAGAAGGAGCGAATGATGGCCAAGTGGGACACTGTGAGTATTATTTGTTGTCTAATCATCATCATTGGCCCTTTTATGTTCGGATTATGTATGGCGCTCAGGCCTACCTTATTGGTGGTTAAGTAGAATGGGCCGTGACCCTCCACGTTGGCCCAATACGGATTGGAGGGTATTAGACTATGCAGCTGCGATCAACGGCTTAACGTGATTTCTGAAGCGCGGAGTAGTCATAGATAAATAATTTTTGGTCACCCATCTCGTGACCGACCCTTGCGAAAGTTGCTTAACTACGCCAATGAGTTGTCTATTAATTAATGAGAAATCCATCTGTAAGTCTTAAACAGTTTGTTGCCCTTGCACGATAGTGGTATCGAGTTGTTAATACAATAGTAATCTGTCAGAGCGAAAGCCCTGAAAGTCTTTCTCTGTATTGTGTGTAATCTACTCATCAAATAAAACAAAGTCGCTTCTCTCTATCAGTACGCTGAAATATTTTTAACTACACAATAGATTTTGTATAATCTATTTTAAATTAATCAGATTGCATACCCAAACACCAATGTGCCATTGAGCAAAATATAAAAAAAAAAAATTAGTAATTTCATAGAGTAATTACATTAATTTCATACATCATTTTATTTCATTTTTCATCAAGAATAATTTCATCGATTTGAAAGGTATTTTATATGCGCTCAATATTGTTCACAGGGCGAGAATCCCATTTACAAGCAAGCAACGTCTACATTTAAAAACCCAACGTATGCTGGAAAGTAATGTGTTCACTCAAAGAATAATATAGATTCTACAGTCATGTTCGTATGTCTGTTTTCAGTCACCGTTGTGTCATCATCATAGACTACATTGAAGTGTATTTGAAGCTTTGTCTGATGTTTATGAAGTTGCCTTTAGGAAGTGCCTTTTATATTGAAACTTTGATACGAATTTTTTTTCAAACAAACGCGTTTGTATAAAAAAATCATTTAGACATAATTTTTAATTTTACAAGCTAAGGGAATTGAAATATCGTTTAGTTAACAATGAATATGGTGGCACAAAGCTAGGATTATATCTCTATGAAAAATTATATATGCTTTTTGTACTTATTCATGTGTGTGTGCGTATGTTTGAATGTACTTACTTGTGTAGTTTGAACATTGATATAGTAATGTGACTGAACAGAAATATTCTATGCATAATTAAAACTGCTTCGCCGTGTTTATTGATAGAAATAACATTTAGAATGATGTTCACAGTCTTACAAGTTGTTGCTAATTATTCTATAAAATTAATAGCAATCGTTTGAATGTAACGCTGAGAAAGTTGCACTTAGAGGAATATTATCGGATAATCTTTTTTTTTAAGAATTAACGCATTCTCAATTAACGCATTCTCAATATTAGTAACATTTATATTTAACAATAAACTACATGTTTTAAAAGTTCATATTTCTAAAAGGAGTAGTGAATGGAAGTTATCGAAGGTATCATTACGATATGTTAGCTTGTAACACTGCCAGTCAATAGTGGTTGTATATGACTGTTTGTTATATTCTAGATCTATTTAAAATATATGATTACAGAAACGTGAACATAATAGTGCATATAAAATATTTAGAAAATATATCTAACACAAAAAAGTACGTCAGGTTACAAAATGTATGCTATCGATTTTGAACTTAACCATCAACAGATTAAGGGTTAAGATCTACTTCATAAACTTGGGATATATTAATAGTGCACGCTTAGCATAATGAACTTGAGAAACATTTTCTCTAGGAGGGGAAGAAATGCAAAAAGGAGTAGTTGTATAATGATTCAAACGAGGGGGGCGTTACATTCCGCCCACTTCTATATTAGCCGTTATGATCAATTAAAATAGTTAATGCTATTTATTACAAAGTAGTTTAAGCTATTAAGCGCTAGATTTTTAAATTAAACATTTCTCAAAAATTTAAATTTTTTTGCAAACATCTTTCACTTGGAGGACGGAATTCTGAAATTAAATATTATCATTAATATAATGAATATTCTTTTCCCGATTGCCATCCATTACATCAGAATGTTTATTGGAGTATTTTTTACAGTATAATACACAATAATTTGTTTTTTTTTTTATACACCGAAAATATCACGACGAAGAGAACGTAAAGTGGTACTCGGTAGATGGGCGTAATCAGACTAAATTAAGCCACGCCTACATTTATAACGTCAGGGGCAATTGGAGAATCACAGAACTAAGTTACTTATGTATCACACTCTCGGCCCTAGAAAAGTGACCTCTATTGTTCCTTATGCTACGCGTGCTGACGTACTGTACAAATTTATAATGTGGATATATGGTTTGTTGGATAATACTGGTGCCTTATATTACTGTAATTATTACTAGTGCCATTGCTAATACTAAAAAAAAAAACTTATATTATTTATTACTATTTAAAATAAAATAACTTTTAAGTGACAATGTAATTAATCAAATAGATACTTAAACTTTATATAAATATAGATATGAAACATGCATTTTATATGTTATTTTAAATCAGATTAGATTGACATAAGTCTTGCCTTTATACGGATATATTATTTGATATAAATACTTTCATTTTGTGTCTTGGAATCTCTCAAGAATTTCAATTTTTTTGCTATGTTGCCTGTATGAGAGCTATGTTTTATTATATCAAAGGAGCAATTATTCTAGGTTCTTGTTTGTATATATAATTTCTTATAGTTACATATGGATTACGTATGTATAATTTAAGAATTTTTGGTCTCTAATAGTAGCTAATAAAGATTAACTCAAAATTTTCGGTAGTTTCATTTTTATAACCTCGTGTTTCAAAACAAGGTTGCCTTAATTATCCTAATACATTCATTCACTTCGAATTCTTAGCAGTAGTTGTATAAATTAATCTGGACGTTCAATTGTTTTGATAGGAAACAACGAAGTTGCTCTATAGGCTGTAGAATAACATCTTACGAGCCCCTAGATAAATCAAAAGCCGCTGGTTGTGATAACATACCTCTATACATTGCGATATATTGTATTTTTATATGTACTATTTTTGAAATGAATGTATCATTTTCAGTATTTTATTATCATTCATCGGATTCACCTTCGTTTTCTGTAAAACTGAATCGAAGAATTTGGACAGTAGCACTAAATAGATTCAAAAGAAAAGAGTTTTTAGAAGAAAATCTGTTTTTTTTTTTATTTATCAAAATAGCAATATGTAATGCGTTTCCGAAAAATCTGTACTTACGTTATACACACATACAGCAAAATCTGATATAGACATTATACGCAAAAGAGAAATTGGTAAGTAATTTTCCGAAGGAAAAAGGAACCTCTGTTGATAAACACTTGCTAACAGTTCAATTTCTATGTGAATACTGATAGTTTCCTTATTATTGAAAAAAAAAACTAAAATATTAACATTATAATGAATTGCCAATGTGATTGGCGATTTATATGAAACTTGTAATATTCACTTTTATTATGTGGCAGTTTTGCTTTAAATAAATGAAAAATAATGAATTAAGAAATTCCTGAATCAATGTTTGGTAATTTCATTAAAATCAATGAAAAAGTGAAATATCAGAATACTAGCTCTATCATATAAATAATACATATTTAACATTATTTGAACATAATTACAGCCTTTACTCTGGTTCAATATATTAATTTCAATTTGCTAGGGGGTAGTTTCCATCCCATAAAAACAAAACAGCGCAACTTGCGATTTGGTCAGGTTTGAAGTGGAGGGTAAGACAAGCTTAATTCCAAAGTTTCAGACAAAACGATGTAGTTTTACAGAAACCGGAGGTAAGGTACTATTTTCACGTTCAATGATTGGACTATTTATCTCTATGGTATTTCCAAGTATATGGAAGAGAGTTCGAGCTGGCTAAATCACACAATAAGAAATAGATACGAAACCAGAGTATTCAGATCGCAGTGATAATAAGGCGGCAGCTCGGGCTCTAATCCAAAGATGTTTCTTGTAAATTGGTATGCAAGTACAATTGACACATGTCTACTTCTAGCGTCGATTTCAGAATTCAGTTCAGTCATTCCGTCATTCTCTTTCATTTGAAAAACAACTGATCTTTTTTAAGCGCTAGTGGCGCGGCTGTCTACGTGTTATTTTTCGCAGTTTGGTGGATAATCCGTTAAGGCGTCTCATCATTACAAAATTGTAAGCTGTGTTCAGCATCGAATAGATTTAATAGTTTTATTTCGATTTCAAACTCTAGTTACAGAATACGAAAAAAAAACTTATTTTCACACCCTCAATTTTCACTCTCTGATAATAACCAAAGGCGTATCAAAGTCACATCAGTTTCTTGAAAGGCCACTATAGAATCCAATCTAGCTTCATAGATTACATTTCAAATTAAATGGAAATAGTGGACAGATTGATTTGATTTATACGGACTTCGAAAAAGCCTTTGATAGTGTGGATCATATTATTCTGCTCTAAAATCTCGGATAACTACGGATACATGGCGATCTGTTGAGATTAGTCACTTTGTATTTTTAAAATCGATCCTAGGCGTTAGTATTTTTTGGGTGGTTACAAAACTAACTATGTCACGGTGTCGTCAGGCGTTCCTCAAGGTTAAACATCTCGGTCTTTTGTGATGCCGAGATCTGATCTGTGGAGGTTAAGGCAGGACGTGACGACAAAAAAGAATACGAGACGAAAGCAACGACCCATTATGTATACGAGGAGAACTGCAAAGAATGGTAAGTTTTGGGGGTAACGTTGTACCTTTTTTTGTATTGAGATCATTTTATACATTCGGGTTTTGACTGATGTAGAAGAATTAGAATTATGATATAGTTTTCTCATTTTTAATTATTATACTTGTTTGGAAGTTATTTCTTTGTACACGCTGCTGCACGTAAGGTTACCATAAATGTCAAATTTCCGCAATTTATTATGTACTCTACGTATACTGTATGAAGCAGAGAAATTTGTTAGTTTTAGATAAAATGTTGACTGTACAAGATCAATTGAAAGTTATTTGTTTGGAGTTATTCTGTGCTGGGGTGATTGTTCCGGAAGGCACGTTAAGTCAATTGTCCCACCAGCTGCGGTAGCTGTATGCAGTGTTAACACCCTTTAATTATATGTGTGAGACATTCTCAACTTAGGTATTACTGGTAGGGCCGCAGCCGTGGCGCGACGAGAGGGGATGCGACCAGTCGACCGGCTGGACGCGCCCTGTCTGCTCCTCGGAGCTGATACAGGGCGTGATGAGGTCGTTTTTCTGTGGCGCACCGACCTCCGGGGGGGGGGGGGGGTTCCACGATAAGGGCTCTGCCTGTGTGGATCCTCCCAACACGATGGGTAGGGGAACGGAGATTGCACAGTTGCGCATCTCTGGTCTTAAGTCAGGGGCAGCTGGCCGGTTCGCGCACCGGCCGGCATTGCACGCTCCTGCCTCGTCGTGGGGTGCCTCTCGAATGTCTCTGAGACGTACTCCCAACCCGCTGTGGGACCTGCCCTTCTCAGGGCGGGCCGAAATGGGGGCGAACGGCGCGGTGTATGGCCTTCGGGCCGATCCCGCGCATGGCCTTCCATGCGAGGGACATCGCTGAGTTTTAGTGGGTAAACTCCTGTTTCTTGTCTAGCCCCTTCGGGGGTGGGGCCACAGGAGGAGTCCCACATCACCCGTGTAGCCCGCGCAGGGTGAAGCGGGTATGCGTAACGCATTTCTCAGCGTCAAAAAAAAAAAGGTATTGTGTGGTTTAATATTTCTACAGCAGGGGTTCCTAAACTTTTTTCTTATAGACTATTTTAAAGAACTGTGGGTCCACCTAGACCTCTTTTAAAATCAATGATTTAGAGAGAAGGCTTACTACCAAAAATAATTCTTAGCATGTGATACCGACTTATCTTCTTATTATTTAATAATAATTTCGAACTTCGTTAATTTTGTATGTGGCACCTTGAACTGGTGAAGATGTTTCCAATTTCTAACCATCCCTAATGCCCATGTAAAACCATTTTCAATTAATTATTACTTACTAATCTGGCAGTCGTTAGTATAAAATACAGTCATGCGTGTTCTAACGAAGGTTCTGAAAGTCAAAGTAGTAAAGACGATTATACGGTAGGGTAAATACTCATACGAACCTAATATTCAGGTAATATTGTTCGAAGAGTGTTTGGGTATAATCATATTAGTATGGTGATGGACGACACGAAACAGACTATAACGGCCTCTACCTCTATGTTTTGTGATTACGTCACAGGAAGAGTAATAAAATTTTAAAATAACAAATTACCAGTTATTGGCAAGATTAGGACTGCATGCTTTTATCATTTCCATGCAATTTGTTGATCGCCGTTAAAAGTACTTACATGCATAAGCGAATATTAAGGTGACACCAAACAATTTATGATAGACCATCAAGTCAGATTAGCACTGTAGTTCCAAATGATGCTTCATGCACGACGTTTCTTTTTGAAAGTCAGTGCCCTGTTTTAGTAATGATTTCAGAAAGTTATGCGTAATTTATAACATTATAATTAGATTTAATATGACTTGAAATATACAAGGTGTAATCTAAAAGTGTTTAATAATCCTGCAAAGTAAACACAAGCATAATATTATAGGTGTTTTG